ATGTTGATGTTGCAGCCACCTACGATAATTTAGGTTCAATTCACAGCCAGCTAGGTGACTTCGAGAAAGCCAAGGAGTATCATCAACGGGCTTTAGCCATTTATCTTGAAAAGCTTGGCACCGAACATGTTGATGTCGCAACTACCTACAATAACTTAGGTGAAATTCACAGGCAGCTGGGGAACTTCGAACAAGCGAAGGAGTATCATCAACGTGCCTTAGCTATTGATCTTGAAAAGCTCGGTGATAAACATGTTTATGTTGCAACCACTTACAGTAACTTAGGCGTGATTCACAGCCACCTAGGAGAATTTAAGCAAGCCAAGGAACATCATCAACATGCTTTAGCAATCCGCCTAGAGAAGCAAGGATCCGAACATGTTGATATTGCAACCACCTACAATAACTTAGGTGTAACTCACAGCCACCTAGGCGAATTTGAGCAAGCCAAGGAATATCACCAACGTGCTTTAGCCATCTGCCTCAAGAAACAAGGAGCCGAACACGTTGATGTTGCAACCACCTACAATAACTTAGGTTCAATTCATAGGTACCTAGGTGACTTTGAGCAAGCCAAGGAATATCATCTACGTGCTTTAGCAATCGATGTTAAGAAGCTTGGAGCCAAACATGTTTATGTTGCAACCACCTACAATAACTTAGGTTCAATTTACAGCAAGCTAGGCAAGTTTGAGCAAGCTAAGGAGTACCATCAGCGTGCTTTAACCATTGATCTTGAAACTCTTGGCGCCGAACATGTTGATATTGCAACCACCTACAATAACTTAGGTGTAATTCACAGCCATCAAGGCGAGTTTGAGCAAGCTAAGGAATACCATCAACTCGCTTTAGCCATCCGCCTTAAGAAGCTTGGCGCGAAACATGTTGATACTGCGAATACCTACAATAACTTAGGTGAAATTCAGAGGCAGCTGGGCGACTTTGAACAAGCGAAGGAGTACCATCAACGTGCTTTAGCCATCCGCCTGGAAAAGCTCGGTGATGAGCATGTTGATGTTGCAGCCACCTACAATAAGTTAGGAATAACTGACAGGCAGCTAGGTAACTTTGAGCAAGCCAAGGAGTATCATCAACGTTCTTTGCGCATCCGTCTTGAGAATCTCGGCAAAGAACATGTTGACGTTGCAACCAGTTACAACGATCTAGGGGTTATTCACAGGAGGCTAGGCTATTTTGAGCAAGCCAAGGAGTTTCATCAACGCGCTTTACGGATACGTCTGAAGAAGCTCGGCGATGAACATGTCGATGTTGCAACCACTTACAATGACTTAGGTGAATTGCAGAGGCAGCTAGGCGACTTTAAGCAAGCCAAGGAGTACTATGAGCTTGCCTTAGGCATCCGTCTTGAGAAGCTCGGCGACGAACATGTTGATGTTGCAACTAGTTACAATAACCTAGGGGTAATTCACAGGCAGCTAGGCCATTTTGAGCAAGCCAAGGAGTTTCATCAAAGGGCTTTAGAAATACTTGTAAAGAAGCTCGGCGATAAACATGTTGATGTTGCAACCACCCAGATTGACTTAGGTTTAATTTACAGGCAACTAGGTGACTTTGAGCAAGCAAAGGAGCATCATGAGTGTACCTTAGCCAGCCACGAGAAGCTCGACGGCGAACACTGATTTTGGCTTTACAAGGAACTATCTAATCTCAGGCTTCAAACAACCTCATACGCAAGATTTGCTCGAGTTTTCTGTATAACGATCGGTTTGTTTCTAAAACCGAGACCTCAGACCTAAGACCAATGGACTAAAACGAAGACCGAGTGGACTAAAGGGAAGGACTAGTGGACTAAAACGAAGACCCAGTGGGAGATATTGGCCCTGAAAAATCCAATCGAGCCACCTTAAAAGAACCTTTTCAATGAATAGGTCGAAAAGAAAAAGCTAGTTGTGCATGCTTCGGTAATGAAACTACCTTGCATCACGTTTCAGCGTCTGAGGATGGCAGTGTAGTTTGCGGGATTTGTTTGTTAAATGTGAACAAGACAACACCAGAATCGTCAAAACATGGTCACAGCAAACTCATGTACGGCGGTCGACATTACCATAGCACATGCGCAAACTTCTGGTGTAACAGGTCGAGTGGACTCGATCTGGGCTTCCTTTACTGTTACCAATTGACAGTTTAGTATAAAATTAGAAAAACAGCAGGAGAAACAAAAATTGAATCTATAGTTAACTGCCTAATACGTACAAGTACATAATGCATTTAGGAGCTTATAATAGGCTCTTGATGTCTGCTAAAATGAGAAGAGAATACTTATTCCTATTCCCCACTTCGAAAACGCTTTCATAGATTTTGCGTAAACTTGACCAACATTGAGGCAATTATTGGAGGAACAAAAGCTCCCGTGAGCGATTGTGAAAAAAAAAAACCAGTGCTGAGAAATACGACTGCAAGTAAAATAGATAATCACCTCATTTCGTTGCTATGACGACTCCGATGTCAACGTAACTTTGCTCAAAATAAATTTTCATCTTTGTCTCATAAAGCGGTGGTAGTCGTTTTTCCATTGTTAACGGCGACTTTGTTAATGCTCAAACTTGGACCTGAAAAAGTTAATAACGCCACGTTAAAGAACCTTTTCATTGAATAGATCGAAAAGGCACAGTTGTGCTTCAGTAATTGAATTAAAAGGATATGAAATCAGTGGAAAACACCTTTTGGAAAACAAAGAAGGAGAGTTTGGTTAGAATATTTCGAGGAATTACTATACAGATAAACTTCATCTTCATCTTATGGGCGCATTAGATCATATATTTAAACGCTATTTTGTGCCTTTAAAATAATTGTACATTATTATTATTATTATTATTACTATCACTTATAATTAAAAATCTAACTAGAGAGTATAATTCATCGTAATAAGTTTTGCTTATATTTCCCTCACACTCTTCTAAGAATTTAATGTAAACAGCAGAAATTAATTTTAACCCTCGGACGTACATGCAAATTCATACCCCAACCGCGCACATGCTCGAGGAGATCGCTCTCACTTTCAGCACATCCATCGCATAACACATCAGCGTATTCCATTAGAGGACCCACCAAGGATTTGTACAGTTTTGTCACGTAAATTTTGAAGCGATCATATGGAAACGCTCTCAGACGACTGAGACGATCGGGACGATCGAAGGCTATCCCAGAAGTCATCACTTTTTTTCCAGTAATCGAAAATAAATTCGGCCCGGATGGCGCTGAAGCCGAAAAAATAATACACAAATGTTCGCAGCGCGTATGGGGGTTATTTGAAATTAGAGAAAGTCCGTGACATCAAGTTTTCGAAGAGATACTATGTCTTCGGGGAACTCTTCTAGCTTCTCAATGCCGCAAAATCAAGAGAAAAAGCAGATACCAAGGTAAGGTTCGCTTTACAAATGAAAATCATCCATTTATGTGGCTTGTTTGCAAAACACGCGCAAAAATTCTATTGTCTGACCCAGAGACATAGCTGACGATCCCGCGTCAGATTTGTGATACATCATATTCGCGCAAAATTCACTTGGGCGGTGGCTTCGCATCATTATTAAAGGTAATAAGAGAAGGCCACAGCACTGAAGGTTGCTGCAAGAGCAGCAAGTGAGTGTAGAAGAGCATTAATCGCCAAAACACGTGGTTTGCCTGCAGTTTTTTGTTTAAGTGCTTAGCGTCCATTCAATAGTCTTGAAAAAGGACACCCCTGGGTGGCTGGGTTGTAAGATTGCATGTAAAGAAGGATTATTTTTTTACCCCACCTAAGAGGGTTATCTCATTGACCTACCCGGGGTCCCCCACCTCTACGTAAACAGGCCCTTAATGTGCCGGAATTGACAAAAAAACTTGGACAGTTGGTTATTACAAGATCAAGTCGAGTAGTGCCTGTAGGTGTTATTCGAGTTGGTTCGCTAATCTCTTGAAACAAATTGTTGCACTCCATCCAACGATACAATAAACAGCCAAAATCACTACAGGCCGAAGGCGCAGCGGGGTCATAATGACCATTTAAGTCTCCCAGAAAAACAACTAAAAGGTATCAGGCTTAGACACTGCTTAGACAGTACATTTTGTCGAGGCACGTCTGTAAATTGCTCAAGAATCTGACATTCGTATCTGTACTTAAACCTGGTGGTCTATAATGAACGCAACATAACGTTCGTCAATCTGATTTTCGCCATATTCGTCAAAATTTTCCACTTTTCAAGGGGCTCGTTTGGACGTCTTTGAGTTTTCGCCAAACCTTTGACCGATTTTCGCCAAATTTGCCATTTTCGTTCTTGCGTGCATTTCTGGTTGACTGAATCTAGACTGTGTGGTCGATGAGACTTCTACTAACAACACCGGTAATAAGAATACCTAAAATAGATATCTAAATAGATAGCCCACACAGTCTTCCAAGAAAACTTTTATGAACGGAAATAATGAAATTTCAGCGGCAAGATGTTATTTTTCGCCCAAAAATAAAATATTTCGCCTGTTGTTAAGTTTTGACTACCTGTGTCTGAATGCTAAATTGACCCTACTACTAAGGATAAAATTAAACACACCTGTGTAAAATTTACTCTAAGCACCTATTGGTTTTCAGATATCTGTGCCATCAATTTTTAGATACTTGACCAAAAAGAGGATTTCTTGTCGGTTTTTTATTGCGATGTGAGTGTATTATGGTTGACAACGTACACGATGCATAATAAATCCGCTCACTAGAAAGGGCTGTGCATCTGTGCTAACGCTTCGCAGGGGAGCTTTCAATATCTAATAGACAAGAAAAAAGCAGAATACGCACAATACGGAACAGTTTATGTTTCAGCCAACTTAACTACATGAGTACAATTTCGTGCATAAGTAGGAAAGCTAAGCATGAACTCAACAGCGAACGCATCAAGCATGGAGTCTTGGAACTGCTCAACTATGTTTTAGTTCCACAGCGTTTAAAATTGGAGGAACCTTTGCTTTTTGTCTGATCATTCTTGTCTTTACTGGCCGGAAATTCTCTCATTGTAATGATCGTTAACAAAACGCCCAACTTAAGAAAACCGATAAATTATTTCATCGCAAATATGGCCTCGTCCGATTTGCTGTATCCAATATTCACTTGTCCATGGTCCTTGTTATTGTTGCACACATCACGGATTATCGGTGTTCTGTTTGGCCAAGCCTTGTGTAAGCTATAGCGTGTTTTCTTTGGTGAAGTTCCGCTGTGGCTTCTACTCAAAATCTGACACTGATAACTGTTACAGTAGATCGATTTGGAGCCGGTAGTGTTTCCACTCCGTTCCCCACGACTCATGAGATCCAAGATTTGCCCTTTCTTTCTTCTTGCGACGTGAACAGTTGCAGTAGCTGTCAGTTCACCATACTTTTTCGTTGGAAACTCAGAACGGGTGCAGTGTAAAGCCAGATGGGAAGAAGCAATCGCAGAATGCTTGTCCTCTCCAGACTTCAGACTGGCGTCCTTTATATTGTTTATCTACATCCCTGTGCTGTTGTTAGTTATTTTTTACTCTATCATTCTTATCAAACTCAGGACACAGGCGCACCCAGGTGAGCAGTCGTCGAACATTGAGCAACAGCGGCAAAGAAGAAACAGAAACGTGCTTTGTATGTCCATTGCTATCATTTCACTGTTTGTGTTTTGCTGGTTACCATTCATGACTAATATTTTGATATTAAGTTATATAGGGGCAGTTCCATTCATTTTTCCTGTAATTTCAGGCAATACTATGTGGTCAACTCTGTGGTAGCTGCCGCTAACTGTGCTTTCAACCCGATTATCTGCTTCACATTTAGTAGCAATTACTTGCTTGGTCATAAAAGACTCTTGAACAGGTCTACTGATTTAAAGCAGTAAGTTTAAAAAATATGTGCTTGTCAATGAATAAGTTATATGTTCATTCCGTGGGATGCCTGTGGCACTCCCACGGTAAAAATCCAGTTCGGTTGTACCCAAAATTGCAAAGCCAGCCAATAGGATTGCCTAAAATCTTTATCGATTATCTCTTCTTCCAAGCCGACCAATCAGATTGTACAAAATCTGTATCGATTTTTAATCGACTTGCCTCCTCTGAAGAACGTTGGAATATAATACACCATGTCTCATTGCAACTCTTATTATAATATAAGTTTTTGTATTTTTAACTTTATAATCAAGCAGTTCCTTAGAGTGTTTTAGTATAATTTTACAATGGTTGGTGTACAACCTCGGGTATAAATAATAAATATAGTAAATGAATAAATATTTATCATATTTATTATATTCCTGAAAATCCAATCTAGCCACCTTAACGAACCTCTTCATTGAATAGATAAAAAGAGGCAAAGGTGGGCTTCAGTTATCGAATTAACAAGATAAGAAATCAGAAGAAAAACAAATTTTAGTAAACGGAGAAGTAGAATTTCGTTATTTTTATTAATTAATGTACAAAAAAACTTAGAATATCTAGTTAGAGCTTATAGGTTTTGTTTACTTTTCACCCGGGCACATAATTCCCACTCTTCTAAATAATATTATAAACGGCAGAAATTAATTTTCAGCCACGGGATGTTTTTTTAGACAATAAATAATGTTTTGCCTGTTAAATTTTGACCTCCTTTGTTTGAATTAATAATTGTGTGGTTGGTGAGTCTTTTACTAAAGATGACAATGAACAAAGAGTTTGTTAGTTCTGCATATTTGTTAAATGATATGGCTGGTGAGCCTATTACAGCATTCAACACACCTGTTTAAACTCTAAGCCCGTATTGGTTTTCAGATATCCATTGCATCCGTTTCTAGACACTTGACCAAAGACATTATTTGGTGGCTTTTTATTACAGTGCAGTGAGTGGCCTTATGGTTCATGTGACAACGTACACAATACGTAATAAATCCGCTCAATTTAGAAAGGGCTGTGCAGCTGTGCTAAAGCTTCGCAGGGGGGCTTACAATAGCCAATAAAACTAAACAAGAAAAAGCAGGATACACAAAATACGCCGGAACAGTTTTTGTTTGAGCCTACTTAACTACATGAGTACAACCTCGTGCATATGCAGGAAAGCTAAGCGTGAACTCGACAGCGAACTCATCAAGCACGGAGTCTTGGAACTGCTCTACTATTTGATAGTTCCACAGCGTTTAAAATCAGAAGAACCGTTGCCATCTGTCTGATCCTTCTTGTTTCACTGCCTGGAAATTCTCTCATTGTAATGCTCGTTTATAAAACGTCCAACTTAAGAAAACCCATAAATTATTTCATCGCAAACATGGCCTTTTCCGATTTGCCGTATCTACTATTCAATTGCCGCCTGCTCCTCTTATCGTTGCACACAACATGGATTATCGGTGGCCAGCTTGGCCAGGCCTTGTGTAAGCTTATCAGTGTCTTTGCTGAAGTTTCCGCTATCGTTTCGATTCAAAGTCTGATTTTGATAGCGGTGGATCGATTTGGGGCCGTGGTATTTCCACTCCGTTCACCACTTATCAGATCCAAGTTGTGCCCCTTCTTTATTCTCGCGACCTGGATTGTTGCAGTAGCTGTCAGTTCGCCATACTTGTTCGCCGTGAAACTCGTTGATAACTCAGGGAAAATGTACTGTACACTCAGATGGAAGGAAGCATTCGGAGAGTCCTCGTCCTATCCACACTTCAAACTAGTGATCTATATCTTGTTTGCCTACATCCCTGTACTGTTGTTAGTCATTCTTTAATCCTTCATCTTTATCAAACTCAAGGAACAGGTACACCCAGGTGAACATTCGTCCAACATTGAACAACAACGACAAAGAAGAAACAGAAACGTGCTTCATATGTCCATTGCTATCATTTCAGTGTTTGTGTTTTACTGGTTACCATTCATTACTAATATTTTAATCGATAATTATCGGAGCAGTTTCATATATTTTTCCTGTAGTTTCTGGCAATACTATCATGTCACCTCTTATGTAGCTGCCGCTAACTGCGCTTTCAACCCGATTATCTGCTTCGCTTTTAGTAGCAATTACCGGTTTGGTCTTAAAAGACTCATAAACAATTCTTCTGGTGCACAGCAGTAAGTTTAAAAGATATATGCTTGTCAGTGAATAAGTAAAAGTTTCATTTTTTTTCTGCCATGACTACAAAGAGCAGAGTTACTTGGTGGCGGGATCAAGAGTGTAACATAAGAGTTTGAAAGTGCACTGCGTGAAATAAGTAATTTAGTGGAATTTACAGGGCCACGATACTCCATGGCAAATGGCAAATAGTATACCGACACGCGAGGTGCTATGAAACGCGGGTTTTGAGGGAGTGTCATGTCCCCGATACTTCTGTCGTGAAAAATCAGGACAAATCGTGTCCCAGACACGTCTTCTGTGGTGTTTCAAGAAATATTCGAGCTCTGATTCTTAACGATATTAGTTAGCCAAAACTATGTCGACTTTCAACAGTGAGGTAAAATGGCATGAACACTGAAATTTAGGAAAAATTAAACATTACCTGATAAAAACACAACTAACGCGTTTACGCAAACTTTCCAAGGTATGCCGAGGTTGATAAAGATTTACGCACTTAGCTTGTCTTAAAGGTTGGATGAAGGTAGTATAAGGTTGCAACAACTTTACGCTCATTTACGCGAGATATTCGAAATAAAAATAGTTGAATAACCGTGAGGTTACTCATACATTGCCACTCTGGTAGCAGGATCTGTTTTCTTCGTTTTTTTTACCATGACCGAAGTAGTTTTCCCGCCGCTAACGATGAGAGTCGTTGGCTTTTTTTTTTGGAAATCGTTGAATTCTATTCGGGTGACTGGAAGGCATTGTTAACATAAATGGCCTATCACTTACTCTTCACCGTGAGACGACTTATTTGACGCAGTGGTGAAAATGACTCAATAAAGTGCAAGCAATGTTATCTGGTCTTGTTTTCTGTCTTTTTTGTAAATTTTAGGCGCTATTTAATTGGTTGTACACGATCTGACCTGACAATGTCGTAATAAAAAGAAAGAAAAATACGGAGGACAGAAGCACTAGTACTGATCTCAGCTTGATGCGATACTGCATACACTGAGGTACACTACACTGAACATTGAATAAAAAAGAATTATTACAAAAAATCATTCTACTTGTTACATTGTTCCAAAAACAAAGGGCGCTTTCCATTCAACCAAAAATTTCGGAAATTTGGAGACAGTAGCCTGCATAACAAGCGCTTCATGAGCCAATCGAGGCGAACATAAAGCGCCTGTTATGCAGGCTAGGAAACAGCTGCAAATGATACAGAAATTTCCCGGAAAAGTTTCCATAAAATCCGGAAACTGTTGAATTTCCGAAATGCGAACCATTCAACCGATCATTCTAGATATTCCTGGAGCAAAGTTGAATGGAAAGAAAACATCCGGGAAAACGTTTTCGAAAATTCGGGTATACCCCGCGACGTTGTCCTCGATCTTACTTGGGAAATTTTGGAAAATGCTTTAATTTCCATCGATAGAGGATATCCTCTCTTGTTTTCCATTCACTACTGGAAGTCGCCGAAAATTCAAACTCGACTAGCCATTGAGTTCATTATTCTCTTCAGCCTGCGATTCAAAATAAAGGCAAAAATTCACGATAAACTTAATCATTATGGCTGAGAGTTCTTGGCAGCGGAAGAAATTTGTAAAGGAAAGAATACTAACCAAACTTTTTCGGCCTTGTAACACCAGAAATGCTACATATAATCAGTTTAAGGTCAAAACAAGTCAAACATCGCTGAATAATTTCATTAGGTTCGAGTTTTAACGTCAGTATTAAGTATAGACAAGATAGCAAAATAACCTTTTTCTTTGGGTTTAGTTCTTTTTCTTTGGGTACAATGTCACATTACTCACTTAAGCACCCTGTAGCTTTTAGACACTTTCTTTTACACATACATGTCATGCATTTGTTACGATCAAACTCTGCTCTTTCATTAAGTTTTGGAAATATCCCTTAATGTTGGGAGACGGTTTTTCAATTAGCATCCGAGAAACCAAGCAGAAGTGTCGTTGTTTATTGCAAGGCTAGTTTTTAAACTCATTTTTCGATCTAAAAGCGAGCGCCTTCAAAATAAATAAACAAACGATATATATCCAAATAGAAGAAAGGCCAAATTAAACAGTCTCAGCTGGAGATATTTTAAGAAGAGGCCGATTCATGTGTTCTAAAATTAAAGAGGAGCTGCTAATTTCAAGAGTAGGCAAGAACGGGTGTTTATAAAATGATTACCGGATACCGGAGAAAGGTGGATCTAAAAATGCGGAAAGAAAAATATGCAGATGACTAAAAAATCTAAACTAAGAAGAATAAACTGCCGAAAAATGCGGATGGAAAAAAACAAGCAAAACAAAGATGTAAGGTTAATGTTGTATGTTACAGAAGCAGCTTTATTATGGTACTACGATATTTGAATTGTGATAATAAATAGTGGGATTGGATATTTGGATCTAAAACGTACACGATACTTGAACATCAATCCGCTCATTTTAAACATGACAAGGACTGTGTAGCTGACCCCGCTGAACGATTTCATAAGGTTAGAGATGGGATAGTCTGCTACACAGCCGTTTTTAGTGTTGTCACGCAACGCTCCTCCCCACTAACGGCTGCTGAAAACCGAACTACATTCCTTTCCCGTGATTAGCCAATTATAATTCAGCTCCCATTTTCTGGAAGGTGTTCGCGCCACGTTTGCGGTACTGTGACTCTTCCAATCACAGCTTTGCTTTTATCGGTGCCCCATGTGTGAATGACAGAATAATCAAGCCATTAACTAGAGCAGTGTTGTCGTAGTCGAGTCCTATTCAAAATTTAGGAGATTTGCAGCAGCAGCAAGCAAGTCGAGCAAATTGCGATGCACAACATGGATGTGCTCATAAAGTTGCCAGGTATAGTTCGGGAAATCGCTCATCGATAATTTAAAAGATTGCTTTTTGAATCAGTACCCTTGAGAGTTCAGTCTTCACCGGAACACAATGAGCACATCCGGCACATTTAAATTCTTCATTACATATCAGTACATATGCACGTTAAATGAAGAATCAACCGATCCTGGTAAAAGTCTTCTAGGCCTATCAAACCTTTTTTCCACTTGGAACTTTCTTGACCGCTTAAAACAAACTTTTTTGCAAATTAACCTTTTCGTTGCTTGAAAACACAGAGCCCGTCTAAATTCAGCGACGATTGATTGATTTGTCGAAAACTGAGAAGCGTGCTCGCTTCCTAGCGCCCCGCGGTTCTCGTATTGTCAAACTTCTTGTACATGATTGGCTTGTTCGTTAGACCACAAACACAAAGGGAAAGGAATGTAGTTCGGTTTTCAGCAGCCGTTTGTGGGGAGGAGCATTGCGTGACGACACTAAAAACGGCTGTGTAGCAGACTAGAGATGGGACTGCAGTGTCAAATATGAAAAGATAGCAAAATAACAGTTTTTCTTCGGGTTTTTACCATGGTACCGTCCACACGTATCCGGTTATTTTTGAAAACAGAGATTATTTTCCATCGTTTTCAAAAACAATACGCCCTCGCACGTAGCGTAATCGAATCTTTTTCGCCAGTCCATACGAAAACGCTAAACAATGGAAATACGATAGCATTCCTCACAGAGCATGCGTCATGATCGAAGTAAATGATGGATGACATTATCGTTCTCGAAAACGTCTGTTTTCGTCCGTTCACTCGTAAACGAGTGGCCAGCGTTTTCAAAGATCTTCACTCTGGAGAGCGTTTTCGAAAAGATGCGTTTTCGGTGACGTTTTCTCCGGATACGTGAGTCACCCGGTAGGCCAGACCCGCCGGAAAAACAACCTCCGTTTTCAAACAAAAATGGATTCGTGTGGACGGGAGTAGTCATGCTTCAGCAAAATTAACCCCGTTGATGCCTTCCCCTGCCTTCCGTATGCCTTCCCTTTACTAATATGTATAAGTGTCATTGTTTTTAATAAAGTTTTTAAAACGGTACCTCTCTTCTAGTTTTTAATTGCTAGCAATTATTAGTCGCGCGTTTTAATTGATCCTTGTCAAGTTATTTAAAATTGTTTATATAATAATACGTCAAGGTGCTCCCTTGGGTCTCTCCTGTAGAGCTAATTTGTATTCAACTTTGGGCTTGGGAACTCGCATAATTAACTGACTAACGGTGCGTGAAACGCTGAGACTGTAATAGTTTTTCATTTCCTTGAGAGAGATAGATAGGAGAAAACGTCAGACAAAATTGCAATAGAGAGTTTTCAGTTCTACTTTGTGTATGTCTTGTTTATATATATCCGAGTTTAGCGCTAAATAAGATATAGTAAGCAGTTTCTCGCGTTGCTAGGTGATCGCTTCTCTTATTCCTATTTTTGCCTGTTAATAGACGTTCAAACCATGCTCAAGTTACTTAACGGGCAAGCCTAGGCAAGCCTATTGTTCCTATTGTGTTCTTCCAAAAGAAAAGAAACGACTATCCAGTTCATTATATATGGAGGAAGGCACTTGATAAGATGTGGAGGAAGGCACTAAATTAATATGCAGGAAGACACTTATACAGATTAATAAAGGGAAGGCATACGGAAGGCAGGGAAAAGCAACTGACGGGGCCTATGTCACATTAATTTCACTCAAACATCCTATATCTTATAAACATTTTTTTACACGTATTTAGGAAGAATAAACTCTTATCTTACAATTTGGTGAAATATCCCCGTAATGCTGGATGAAAGCGTTTAAATAAGAACTTGATAAACTAAGCAAAAGTGCCGTTGTTTATTGTGAGGCTAGTCTCAAAACAATTTTTTGATCTACAAGCGAGCGTCTTCAAAATAAATAAATAATATTTTTTATATAACCACTAATGAAATACCAGGTGAGCTCTCGCGCCAAAACATGATATCTTTACGCGTCAGAACACGTTATCTTCACTTGACTATGAAAAGATCACTGTTGTTATGGCTACATAAAAAATCGCGCCTTTCACTGCAAAAATGATGCCCTCACACGTAAAATATTTTTCAACTTCGTATCTCCGCGCGGCCATGTAGTATCCTCTATGTGCAACTGGCTAAACTATGTAGTCCCAGTTGGAGACATTTTAAGGAAGAGTCCATAATACATTTTTATCCAGTTTGTCTGATGAAGCTATGGTAATCGTTTTTCCACACCTTTTTTAAATGATAGCAACATAATAGGTCAAACCTAGGAGGTATAAATCCTGAAAATCCAATGTGGCCACTTTAATTTAAACGAATCAAAAAAGGTAAAGTTGCATGCTCATAAGAATAAGAGGAAAAACGAATTTATTTTTGTAAAACGGAGAAGACGAATCTGGTAAATTTAATTCTAGGAATGAATGTACCGAAAAACGTAAAATATCTACTAGAGCTTATAAGTTTTGTTTACTTTTCTAAAAAACCTTTTTAGACAATAAATAATATTTCAGCTGTTAAATTTTGACTTCGTTCATTGAATTCTTAATCGTGTGGTTGGTGAACCTTTTAACTAAAGATGACATTGAACATAGAGTTTTATATTTTGCATATTGGTTGGAGAGTCATCCCATGGCCCAAAAAGTCTACTATAAGTTACAAAAAGAAGTTGAATTTAATTCAAGCTGCAAGTTTTATTTTTCAGACAAAAAATAATCTACGTCCGTTGCTAAGTTTTGACTACCTGCATGTCTGAATGCTAAATTGATCCTATTACTAAAGGTAAAATTCAACAAACCTGTTGAAAATTTACTCTAAGCACGTGTTGGCTTTCAGATATTCTTTGCATCGGTTTCTTGGCCAAAAAAAGGAATTCTTATTGGCTTTACATGATACATCAGCTCCCTTTAGAAAGGGCTGTACAACTGTGCAAAGGCTTCGCAGGGGGGCTTTCAATGGCCAATAAACAAGAAAAGAAGCAGGATACGCCAAGCTATGGAGTAGTTTTTCTACTAAACTGCATGAGTACAATTTAGACCCCTTTCGGTTGTGAGGGCATGCTGGGTAATCAGAACCTTCTAAACTGTATGTGTACAATTTAGTGTATAATTCGGACAGCTAAGCATGAACTCAACGGCGAACGCATCAAGCGAGTTTTGGAAGTGCTCCACTTTAGTTAATTCCAAAGCTTTTAAAATTGGAGGAACCGTTGCCTTCTGTCAGATCCTTCTTGTTTCAATTGCCGGAAATTCTCTCATTGTAATGCTCGTTTATAAAACGCCAAACTTAAGAAAACCCATAAATTATTTCATCGCAAACATGGCCTCGTCCGATTTGCTGTTTATACTTTTCACTTGCCCTTGGTTCATCGCAAGGTTGTACACATCACAGATTATCGGTGGCCAGTTTGGCCAGGCTTTCTGTAAGCTTAACACCTTCTTTCTAAACGTTTCCGCATTCGTCTCGATTCAAAATCTGGTGCTGATAGCGGTGGATCGATTTGGAGCCGTGGTATTTCCACTCCGTTCCCCACTCATCAGATCCAAGTTGTGCCCCTTCTTTATTCTCGCGACCTGGGTAGTTGCAGTAGCTGTCAGTTCGCCATACGTCTTTGCTGCCAGACTGGTTGAAAACTCAGGAAGAAAGCAGTGTGATCGAAACGCCGGATGGAAGGAAGCATTCGGGGAGTCCTCGTCCTATCCAGAGTTTAAACTAGTGATCTATATCTTGTTTATCTACATCCCTGTCCTGTTGTTAGTCATTCTTTACTCCTTCATCTTTATCAAACTCAAGGCACAGGTACACCCAGGTGAACATTCGTCCAACATTGAACGACAACGACAAAGAAGAAACAGAAACGTGCTTCATATGTCCATTGCTATCATTTCAGTGTTTGTGTTTTGCTGGTTACCATTCATAACTAATGAATTAATCTTAGTTTATCGCAGCAGTTCCACTCATTTTTCCTGTAGTTTCAGCCTTTACTATGAGGTCACCTTTTGTATAGTTGACGCTTACGTTGCTTTGAACCCGATTATCTGCTTCACTTTTAGTAGCAATTACCGGCTTGGTCTTAAAAGACTCATAAGCAGTTCTTCTAGTGTACAGCAGTAAGTTTAAAAATATCAGCGCTTGTGATTAAGTAATATGAGCTGAATATGTTCATTGTTTATCTGCCGTAACGACAAGAAGAGAGACTTGGTGTGTCTCAAGGGTGTAACATAAGACTTTGCAAGCCAAGTGAAACTTAGAATCAATGTATAGACTCAGAGGAATAAAATGGCTCAATAAATGACAATCAATGTTGTCTTAAGTGGTCTTCTTTTCAGTTTTTTTTTGTAAATTTTTTCGCGATTGAAACAGTGTTACTGACACGATGGCAGCGGAAGGAATTTGTGAACGAAAGAATACTTATTGGTTATTGGTTATCTGCCGGCCCTATAACGCTAAAAAGACTTCATATAATCAGTTAAGTATAAAACAACTCAAACTTCGCTTGTGTGGTTGTTTAATGCGAGGCTAGTTTGAAAAACTGATTTTTCGATCTAAAAGCGAGCGCCTTCAAAATTACTAAATGGACAAGAAATATCCAGATAGAAGAAAGTCTAAATGAAACAGTTTCAGCTGGAGATATATTTAAAGAAGAGAGCAATTAAAATGCGCACAAACACTAAAGAGGAGGTGCCAATTTTATTAGAGCAGTGCAGCTGACTTCGCTGAATGATTTTATCAGTTTAAAGACCTCACTTTCAAAGCATGGAAATATAGCAAAATCACACTTCTTCCTTTGGTTTTTACTGTACCAGATTAATTTCACTCAAACATCCTGTTACTTGTAGAGACTTTTTCAGACATATTTTGCAAGAATAAACTCTTCTCTTACAAATTTTTCGAAATATCTCCATAATACTGGATGACAGCGTTTAATTATTAGCAGAAGTGTCGTTGTTTATATCAATGGTAGTTTCAACGGTAGGATTTTAAGTTCGATAAGCTCCAAAATCACACTAATGAGGGAAAAAGGCAGGAGAAGAAGAAAGAGAGAGGAGGAAAAAGGAGGAGAAGAGAAACACAGCAATGGTCTCACCCTTAGTTTTTATGATGACTAAAGACAACTGTTAGACAGAAAAGATTCATTTGGCGGTAACGTTTTCAATAATCCGGATAAAGATGCAAATAGACCCCTTTCGGTTGTGAGGGCATGCTGGGTAATCGGGACGGGATGGTGGGGAATTCAGAAGTTTGTATGTGAATTTAAAGTCAACTAATTCTTCCTAATTGAATACATTTGTCACTTTCTCTTTGCAGACTTTAACTAATGACCTTAAAGAAACTATAAACTAAATGTGGAGGGCACAGCAGTCCTTTAACGCTTTTTACAAAATTTGACGTCTTCCATACAATTTCTGTAATTTTTATGTTGTCAGAAAATGTATGGAAGAACTGAGGTCTTCTAAAACGCAACAAAGGACTACCATGTACTCCAGGTTTAGTGAGTATTTTTTTTAAGCTCATTTGGTCACATTTTTCAAAGGGTGTGTTACAAATATTTTCAAGTAGCAAAAATTAAATGACTTTAAATTCTTATACAAACTTTTGATTTTTCCACCGTCTTGTCCTGTCCCAGCATGCCCTCTGAACCGTACAAGGGCCTATAGAAGAAAAGCTTAACTAAACAGTCTCAGATAGAGACATTTTAAAATTAACCCTCGGATGTACAAAGGAGGGAGGGTGGATTCCACCCACCCACCCACCAGGTTTTTCTGAGTTTTTTCTTAGAGGGTTAAACATCAGATCAGCACCTGACGTTTTCAGTAGCTGTACATTTTTCCCTCACGCGCACTTTGAGACAAGTTACATAATTCCACTATACGCGAACACTGGCTAACAACGGTTATAATCACCGGCATACATTAGTAAATTACACCACTGTAATTAAATACAACAAGGGTACTTCTACTCGCCTGTTGCCTGGCCACATAGCCTGCGGCCAGGTTCCTTGATGGGGAAAAAAGCTAGCAAATAAAGCGGTGAACTTCGCAAAAAATCGAAGAGCGGTCAAGGTTGGCCTATTTTGTGCATGCCTTCTCAGCTGGCTATTGAGCATTCGCAGGCCTTAGGCAGAAATGCCAGACTTCAGATTTCATTAGAAATAAGCCGAGCTCTATCTTTCGTGGCGCAAGTCAAGGTGCCAAAGAGTTTCTTTCAAAATTAACTAGATATTACGGATCGATATTACTAAATTTCTAGGTATAAAAATGTCATCCCAAAATACCTCGAAAACACACCCATAGATTTTGCTCAAACTTCACGAACATTGAGGTATATATTGGAGGAACAAGCTCGCGTGAGCCATTTTAAAAAGAAATCCCAGTGCCGAGAAATACCGTCTGCAAGTGAAATAGATAATGACGTCATTTCTTTGCTATCAACAGTTCGATGCAAGCATAGCAGGCGTCTCATACTAAATTTTCATCCTTGTCTGATAAAGCTGTGGTAATCGTTTTCCACATTTTTGTTTTATAGTAGCCACATTGTTAATGCTCAAACTTGGAATGTATCCAATCAAGCCACCTTAAACAAACCTTCTTAGTGAACAGATCAAAAAAGGCAAAGTTGTGCTTCAGTGCTCAAATTAAAAGGATAAGAAATCAGTGGAAAAACAATTTTGGAAAACGGAGATCATTGGTCATTTCTAGGAATGAATGTACAGAAAAACTTTAAATATCTAGCTAGAGCTTACAAGTTTTGATTACTTTTCGGCACGTAATTGCCCTCACACTATTCTAAAAAAAAAACTGATATAAACAACCGAAATTAATTTTAAGCCGCAGGGTGCTATTTTTCAGACAATAAATAACATTTGGCCTGTTAAATTTTGACTTCCATTGTTTGAATTCTTAATTGTGTGGTTAATGTGCCTTTTACATGACACTGAACAAATAGTTTGTTAGTTTTGCATATTTGTTGCATGTCTGAATCCTAAATTGACCCTATTACTAAAAAAAAATTCAACACACCTGTTTAAAATTTACTCTAAGCACGTATTAGTTTTCGGATATCCTTAGCATCGGTTTCAGACATTTGACCAAAAAGAGGATTTCTTGCTGGCTTTTTATTACGATGCAGTGAATGCCTTATGGTTGACAACGTACACAATACATAATAACCCGCTCAATTTAGAAAGGGCTGTGCAGTTGTGCTAAAGCTTCGCACGGGGGCTTTCAATGGCCAATAAACAAGAAAAAAATAGGATACGCAAACTACGGAGCAGTTTTTATTTGAGCCAACTAAACTGCATGTGTGCAATCAGTAGTGTATAATTCGGACAGCTAAGCATGAACTCAACGGCGAACGCATCAAGCGAGTTTTGAAACTGCGCTACTTTGTTTAGTTCCAAAGCTTTTATCGGAGGAACCGTTGCCTTGTGTCTGATCACTGTTGTTTCACTGGTTGGAAATTCTCTCATTGTAATGCTCGTTTATAAAACGCCAAACTTAACAAAACCCATAAATTATTTTATCGCAAACATGGCCTCGTCCGATTTGCTGTTTATACTTTTCAGGGGCACCCAACGAGGATATACTTCAAAACCACTTAACATAGCATTGTTGAACGTATTTTAGTATTTGAACGGTAGATATAGGCATATTTTTATCCCCTAAAAACTTTTCATCTGTTCGGATTTCCTAGCTGAAAGTCTAGTGATCCGAAAATTATAGGGATCAAAACTTACCTTTTCGAAAATTTCAGCCAGGAAAAGGCTCCCGAAAATTCTAGGTGGCCTTTTTTAGGGTAAATATCCGTGTAAAATGGGTAATTATACCATTTTCTAGATGTTCGAAAATCCTAGGAGAGGCAGGCAAGCAAGAAATTTTACAACAAATGTTCCGAAAATTCTAGTTCTCAAATCGTCTTCCGAACAGATATTTTCCCGAAAATTGCCGTTGGATGCCCCTGACTTTTCACTTGCCCTTTGCTCCTGGCAAGGTTGTACACATCATGGTTTATCGGTGGCCACTTCGGCCAGGCTTTGTGTAAGTTTAACACTTTCTTTCCAGTAGTTTCCGCACTCGTTTCGATTCAAAATCTGATTCTGATAGCGGTGGATCGATTTGGAGCCGTGGTATTTCCACTCCGTTCCCCACTTATCAGATCCAAGTTGTGTCCCTTCTTTATTCTCGCCACCTGGATAGTTGCAGTAGCTGTCAGTTCGCCATGCTTGTTCGCCGTGAAACTGGTTGAAAACTCAGGAAGAATGCAGTGTGATCGAAACGCCGGATGGAAGGAAGCATTCGGGGAGTTCTCGTCCTTTTCAGACTTCGCAATAGTGATCTATATCTTGTTTATCTACATCCCTGTACTGTTGTTAGTCATTCTTTACTCCATCATCCTTATCAAACTCAAGACACAGGTACACCCAGGTGAAAATTCGTCCAACGTTGAACAATTACGGCAAAGAAGAAACAGAAGCGTGCTTTATATGTCCATTGCTATCATTTCAGTGTTTGTGTTTTGCTGGTTACCATTCATAACTAATGAATTCATCTTATTTTATCGGAGCAGTTCCACTCACTTTTCCTGTAGTTTCAGGCTATACCGCCCATGGCTGACGCTTACGTTGCTTTGAACCCGATTATCTGCTTCACTTTTAGTAGCAATTACCGGCTTGGTCTTAAAAGACTCATAAACAGTTCTTCCGGTGTACAGAAGTAAGTTTAAAAATATCAGCGCCTGTCATTAAGTAATAGTAGCTGAATAATATGTTCATTATCAGTGCAATTACCGGCTTTGTCTTAAAAGGCTCATAAACAGTTCTTCTGGTGTACAGAAGTAAGTTTAAAAATGTCAGCGCCTGTCATTAAGTAATAGTAGCTGAATAATATGTTCATTATCAGTGCAATTACCGGCTTTGTCTTAAAAGGCTCATAAACAGTTCTTCTGGTGTACAACAGTAAGTTTCAACACATCAGCGCTTGTGATTAAGTAATATGAGCTGAATATGTTCATTCTTTATCTGCCGTAACGACAAGAAGAGTGACTTGGTGTGTCTCAATGGTGTGGCATAACAGTTTGCAACCCAAGTAAAACTTAGAATAAATGTATAGACTCAAAGGAATAAAATGGCTCAATAAATGACAAGCAATGTTATCTTAAGTGGTCTTCTTTTCTAGTTTTTTCTTTTTGTAAATTTAGTTGCGATTTAAACAGTTTTACTGACACGATGGGAGCGGAAGGAATTTGTGAACTAAAGAATACTTATTGGTTCTATGTTATTGGTTATTGGTTATATGCCGGGCCTATAACGCCAAAAAAAACTTCATATAATCAGTTAAGTATAAAACCAGTCAAACTTCGCTGAATGATTTCATTATAAGGTTTGAGTTTGGACGATTTGGTGTTAAGCATGAAAAAGATGGTAATGTAACACTATTCTTTGGGTTTTTCTAATATCACATTACTATGACTCAAACACCCTGTTGCTTTTAAACACTTTTTACTTATATTTGGTACGAATAAACCGTTCTCTTTCATTCAGGTTTCGAAATATCCCCTTAATGCTGGGTGACAGAGTTTCAATTAGCATTCGAGAAACCAAGTACAAGTAGTAAGAGTGGTTGTTTATTGCGAGGCTAGTTTCAAAACCTGATTTCTCGATCTAAACCCAGCGCCTTCAAAATAACTAAATAGACAAGAAATATCCAAATAGAAGAAAGTCTAAATGAGACAGTCTCAGCTGGATATATATTTAAAGAAGAGGCCAATTAAAATGCGCACAAAAACTAAAGAGGAGGTGCTAATTTCATTAGGGCAGTGCAGCTGACTTCGCTGAATGATTTTATCAGGTTAAAGACGTCACTTTCAAAGCTTGGAAAATATAGCAAAATCACACTTCTTCCTTTGGTTTTTACTGTATCAGATTAATTTCACTCAAACATCCTGTTACTCATAGAGACTTTTATCAGACATATTTTGCAATGATAAACTCTTCTCTTACAACTTTTTCGAAATATCCCCATAATACTGGATGGCAGTGTTTAAATATTAGCATAAGTGCCGTTGTTTATCGCGATGGTAGTTTCAAGTGCAGGATTCTGGGCTCTATAAGCTCCAAAATCACATTAACGAGGGAAAAAGGAGGAGAAGAAGAAAGAGCGAGGACGAAAAAAGGAGAAGAGAAACACAGCAGTGGTCTCACCCTTAGTTTTTATGATGACTAAAAACAACTGTTAGACAGAAAAGATTCATTTGGCGGTAACGTTTTCAATAATCCGGATAGATATGCAAATAGACCTCTTTCGGTTGTCAGGGCATGCTGGGTAATCATGACAGGATGGTGGGGAATTCAGAGGATTGTATGGGAATTCAAAGTCAACTAATTCTTCCTAATTGAATACATTTGTCACTTTCTCTTTGCAAACCTTAGCTAATGATCTTAAAGAAACTATACACTAAATGTGGAGTGCACAGCAGTCCTTTAACGCTTTTTACAAAATTTGATGAAACCATACATTTTCTGTAATTTTTATGCTGTCAGCAAATGTATGGAAGAACTCAGCTTTTCTAAAAAGCAACAAAGGGCTGCCATGTACTGTGGGTTTAGTGAGCAGTTCTTTTAAGCTCATTTGGTCACATTTTTCAAAGGGAAGGTGACAAATATTTTCAATTAGCAAAAATTACATGACTTTCTATTCTTACGCAAACTTTTGATTTTTCCGCCATCTTGTCCTGATTACCCAGCATGCCCTGTCAACTGTAAAGAGGTCTATAGAAGAAAACTTAAGTAAACAGTCTCAGATGGAGACATTTTAAAAAGGCCAACTAGCTCTTTTTTACACTGCAAACAATGTTTTACTCACCCCTTTCCTTTTCAATTTTTTTTTTACTTTCCTCCTCCTCCACAATTTTATTGTTTTCGTTCCTCAGTTTTTTTATTCCCTCCTCCAAAATTTCATAATTTGTATAAGCCCCTCCAAATATAAGTCCCCAAACTCGAAGCGCAAGAAACCCTCCGTTAAATCGCCCCTCCAAATATAAGCCCTCCGGGGGCTTGTGTTTGGAAATTGGCATCAAATACAAATTTAAAAAAAGTAAAAATAGTTAATTTCCTTCCAACTATAAGGCTAGCCCAATGAATTTTGAAACGCAAATTTCCCTCCATAGATAATCCCCTCCGAATATAAGCCCCTCCAAAAATAAGCCCCTCAAAAAGGGCCTTTGAAAAATATAAGCCCCGGGGCTTATTTTCGGAATTTTACGGTATATTGGAGGAACAAGCCCGCGTGAGCCATTGTAAAAAGAAATCCCAGTGCCGAGAAATACCTTCTGCAAGTGAAATAGATAATGACGTCATTTCGTTGCTATCAACAGCCTGATGCCAGCATAGCATCGGCTCATACTAAATTTTCATCTTTGTCTGATAAAGCTGTGGTAATCGTTTTTCCACATTTTTGTTTCATAGTAACCACATTGTCAATGCTCAAACTTGGAATGTAACCAATCAAGCCACCTTAAACGAACCTTTTCAGTGAATAGATCAAAAAAGGCAAAGTTGTGCTTCAGTGCTCAAATTAAAAGGATAAGAAATCAGAGGAAAAACAAGTTTGGAAAACAGAGAAGAAGAATTTGGTCATTTCTGGGAATGAATGCACACAAAAACCTAAAATATCTAGCTAGAGCTTATAAGTTTTGTTTACTTTTCGGCACGTACTTCCCCTCACACTTTTCTTAAGAAAACTTATATAAACAACAGAAATTAATTTTAAGCCGCAGAGTGCTATTTTTCAGACAATAAATAGCATTTCGCCCGTTAAATTTTGACTTCCATGGTTTGAATTCTTAATTGTCTGGTTGATGAGTCTTTTACATGACACTGAACAAAGAGTTTGTTAGTTTTGCATATTTGTTGCATGTCTGAATCCTAAATTGACCCTATTACTTAAGATAAAATTCAACACACCTGTTTAAAATTTACTCTAAGCACGTATTAGTTTTCGGATATCCTTTGCATTGGTTTCTACACACTTGACCAAAAAAAGGATTTCCTGCTGGCTTTTTCTTACAATGCAGTGAGTGCCTAATGGTTGACAACGTACTCAATACATATTAATAAATCCGCTCAATTTAGAGCCAATAAAACGAAACAAGAAAAAGCAGGATGCACAAAATACGGAACAGTTTTTATTTGAGCCTACTTAACTACATGAGTACAATCTCGTGCATATGTAAGAAAGCTAGGCATGAACTCAACGGCGAACGCATCAAGCGAGATTGGGAAGTGCTCCAGTTTGTTTAGTTCCAAAGCTTTTAATATCGGAGGAATCGTTGCCTTGTGTCTGATCCTTCTTGTTACACTGGCCGGAAATTCTCTCATTGTAATGCTCGTTTACAAAACGCCCAACTTAAGAAAACCCATAAATTATTTCATCGCAAACATGGCCTCGTCCGATTTGCTGTTTATACTATATATGTGCCATGGGATCCTCGCAAGGTTGAACATATCATGGATTATCGGTAGCCAGTTTGGCCAGGCTTTTTGTAAGCTTATCACTTTCTTACCAGCAGTTTCCACATTTACTTCGATTCAAAATCTGATTCTGATAGCAGTGGATCGTTTTGGAGCCGTGGTATTTCCACTCCGTTCCCCACTTATCAGATCCAAGTTGTGTCCCTTCTTTATTCTCGCAACCTGGATAGTTGCAGTAGCTGTCAGTTCGCCATACGTCTTTGCTGCCAAACTGGTTGAAAACTCAGGAAGAAAGCAGTGTGATCGGAACGCCGGATGGAATGAAGCATTCGGGGAGTTCTCGTCCTATCAAGACTTCACAATAGTCATCTTTATCTTGTTTTTCTACATCCCTGTCCTGTTGTTAGTCATTCTTTACTCCTTCATCTTTATCAAACTCAAGGAACAGGTACACCCAGGTGAACATTCGTCCAACATTGAACAACAACGACAAAGAAGAAACAGAAACGTGCTTAATATGTCTATTGCTATCATTTCAGTGTTTGTGTTTTGCTGGACACCATTCATAACTAGTAAATTAATCTTAGTTTATCGGAGCAGTTCCACTCATTTTTCCTGTAGTTTCAGCCATGACTATCATGTCACCTATTATATAGCTGCCGCTTACTTTGCTTTGAACCCGATTATCTGCTTCGCTTTTAGTAGCAATTACCGGCTTGGTCTTAAAAGGCTCATAAACAGTTCTTCTGGTGTACAACAGTAAGTTTCAACACATCAGCGCTTGTGATTAAGTAATATGAGCTGAAGATGTTCATTCTTTATCTGCCGTAACGACAAGGAGAGTGACTTGGTGTGTCTAATGATGTAGCATAACAGTTTGCAACCCAAGTAAAACTTAGAATAAATGTATATGACTCAAAGGAATAAAATGGCTCAATAAATGACAAGCACCGTTATCTTAAGTGGACTTGTTTTCTGTTTTTTTCTTCTTTTTTTTTTTTGTAAATTTCTTCGCGATGGCAGCGGAAGGAATTTGTGAACGAAAGAATACTTATTGGTTACTGGTTATATGCCGGCCCTATAACGCCAAAAAGACTTCATGTAATCAGTTAAGTATAAAACAAGTCAAAGTTCGCTGAGTGATTTCATTATAACGTTTGAGTTTGGACGATTCAGTGTTAAGCATGAAAAGATGGCAATGTAACACTATTCTTTGGGTTTTTCTAATATCCCATTATGACTCAAAACATCCTGTTGCTTTTAAACACTTTCTACACATATTCGCTACCAATAAACTGTTCTCTTTCATTCAGATTTCGAAATATCCCCTTAATGCTGGGTGGCAGAGTTTCAATTAGCCTTCGAAAAACCAATTACAAGAAGTGTGGTTGTTTATTGTGAGGCTAGTTTCAAAACCTCATTTTTCGATCTAAAAACGAGCGCCCTCAAAATAACTGAATAGACAAGAAATATCCAAATAGAAGAAAGTCTAAATGAAACAGTCTCAGTTGGAGATATATTTAAAGAAGAGACCAATTAAAATACGCACAAAAACTAAAGAGGAGGTGCCAGTTGTATTAGTGCTGTGCAGCTGACTTCGCTGAATGATTTTATCAGGTTAAAGACGTCACTGTCAAAGCATGGAAAATATAGCAAAATCACACTTCTTCCTTTGGTTTTTACTGTACAAGATTAATTTCACTTAAACATCCTGTTACTTTTAGAGACTTTTTTCAGACATATTTTGCAAGAATAAACTCTTCTCTTACAAATTTTTCGAAATATCTCCATAATATTGGATGACAGTGTTTAAATATTAGCAGAAGTGCCGTTGTTTATTGCCATCGGTGGTAGTTTCTAGTGCAGGATTTTGGGCTCGATAAGCTCCAAAATCACACTAATGAGGGAAAAAGGAGGAGAAGAAGAAAGAGCGAGGACGAAAAAAGGAGAAGAGAAACACAGCAGTGGTCTCACCCTTAGTTTTTATGATGACTAAAGACAACTGTTAGACAGAAAAGATTCATTTCGCGGTAACGTTTTCATTTAATAATCCGGATAGATATGCAAATAGACCTCTTTCGGTTGTCAGGGCATGCTGGGTAATCGCGACGGGATGGTGGGGAATTCAGAAGTTTGGATGTGAATTCAAAGTCAACTAATTCTTCCTAATTGAATACATTTGTCACTTTCTCTTTGCAAACTTTAACTAATGATCTTAAAGAAACTATACACTAAATGTGGAGTGCACAGCAGTCCTTTGTCGCTTTTTACAAAATTTGGCGTCTTCCGTACATTTTCTGTAATTTTTATGTTGTCAAAAAATGTATGGAAGAACTCAGGTTTTCTAAAACGCAGCAAAGGACTGCCATGTACTCCAGGTTTAGGGAGTAGTTTTTTTTAAGCTCATTTGGTTACATTTTTCAAGTAGAAAAAATTAAATGACTTTCTATTCTTATACAAACTTTTGATTTTTCCACCATCTGGTCCTGATTGCCCAGCATGCCCTCTGAACCGTACAAGGGTCTTTAGAAGAAAAGCTGAACTAAACAGTCTCAGATAGAGACATTTTAAAATTAACCCTCGGATGTACAAGGGAGGGAGGGTGGATTCCCCCACCCCTCCCCACAAGGTTTTTCTAAGTTTTTTCTTAGATGGTTAAACATCAGCACCTGACGTTTTCAGTAGCTGTACGTTTATCCCTCGCGCGCACTTTGAGACAAGTTCCATAATTCCACTATACGCGAACACTGGCTAACAACGGTTATAATCACCGGCATACATTAGTAAATTACAACAGTGTAATTTAATACAACAAGGGTACTTCTACTCGCCTGTTGCCTGGCCACATAGCCTGCGGCCAGGCTCCTTGATGGGGAAAAAAGCTAGCAAACAAAGGGGTGAACTTCGCAAAAAATCGAAGAGCGGTGAAGGTTGGCCTCTTTTGTGCCTGCCTTCTCAGCTGGCTATTGAGCATTCGCAGGCCTTAGTCATAAATGCCAGACTTCAGATTTCATTAGAAATAAGCCGAGCTCTATCTTTCGTGGCGCTAGTCAAGGTGCTAAAGGGTTTCTTTCAAGATTAACTAGATATTACTATATTTCTAGGTATAAAAATGTCATCCCAAAATACCTCGAAAACGCACTCATAGATTTTGCTCAAACTTCACGAACATTGAGGTATATATTGGAGGAACAAGCTCGCGTGAGCCATTTTAAAAAGAAATCCGAGTGCCGAGAAATACCGTCTGCAAGTGAAATAGCTAATGACGTCATTTTGTTGCTATCAACAGCCCGATGCCAGCATAGCATCGGCTCATACTAAATTTTCATCTTTGTCTGATAAAGCTGTGGTAATCGTTTTCCACATTTTTGTTTAATAGTAACCACATTGTTAATGCTCAAACTTGGAATGTAACCAATCGAGCCACCTTAAACAAACCTTCTCAGTGAATAGATCAAAAAAGGCAAAGTTGTGCTTCAGTGCTCAAATTAAAAGGATAAGAAATCAGAGGAAAAACAATTTTGGAAAACAGAGAAGAAGAATTTGGTCATTTCTGGGAATGAATGCACAGAAAAACCTAAAATATCTAGCTAGAGCTTATAAGTTTTGTTTACTTTTCGGCACGTACTTCCCCTCACACTTTTCTAAAAAAAATTTATATAAACAACAGAAATTAATTTTAAGCCGCAGAGAGCTATTTTTCAGACAATAAATAGCATTTCGCCCGTTAAATTTTGACTTCCATGGTTTGAATTCTTAATTGTCTGGTTGATGAGTCTTTTACATGACACTGAACAAAGAGTTCGTTAGTTTTACATATTTGTTGCATGTCTGAATCCTAAATTGACCCTATTACTTAAGATAAAATTCAACACACCTGTTTAAAATTTACTCTAAGCACGTATTGGTTTTCGGATATCCTTTGCATTGGTTTCTACACACTTGACCAAAAAAAGGATTTCCTGCTGGCTTTTTCTTACAATGCAGTGAGTGCCTAATGGTTGACAACGTACTCAATACATATTAATAAATCCGCTCAATTTAGAGCCAATAAAACGAAACAAGAAAAAGTAGGATGCACAAAATACGGAACAGTTTTTATTTGAGCCTACTTAACTACATGAGTACAATCTCGTGCATATGTAAGAAAGCTAGGCATGAACTCAACGGCGAACGCATCAAGCGAGATTGGGAAGTGCTCCAGTTTGTTTAGTTCCAAAGCTTTTAATATCGGAGGAATCGTTGCCTTGTGTCTGATCCTTCTTGTTACACTGGCCGGAAATTCTCTCATTGTAATGCTCGTTTACAAAACGCCCAACTTAAGAAAACCCATAAATTATTTCATCGCAAACATGGCCTCGTCCGATTTGCTGTTTATACTATTTATATGCCATGGGATCCTCGCAAGGTTGAACATATCATGGATTATCGGTAGCCAGTTTGGCCAGGCTTTTTGTAAGCTTATCAGTTTCTTACCAGCAGTTTCCTCATTTGTTTCGATTCAAAATCTGATTCTGATAGCGGTGGATCGATTTGGAGCCGTGGTATTTCCACTCCGTTCCCCACTCATCAGATCCAAGTTGTGCCCCTTCTTTATTCTCGCAACCTGGATAGTTGCACTAGCTGTCAGTTCACCATACGTCTTTGCTGCCAAACTGGTTGAAAACTAAGGAACAAAGCAGTGTGATGAAACCGCCGGATGGAATGAAGCATTCGGGGCCGTTCTCGTCGTATCAAGACTTCACAATAGTCATCTTTATCTTGTTTATCTGCATCCCTGTACTGTTGTTAGTCATTCTTTACTCCTTCATCTTTATCAAACTCAAGGAACAGGTGCACCCAGGTGAACATTCGTCCAACATTGAACAACAACGACAAAGAAGAAACAGAAACGTGCTTTATATGTCTATTGCTATCATTTCAGTGTTTGTGTTTTGCTGGTTACCATTCATAACTAGTAAATTAATCTTAGTTTATCGGAGCAGTTCCACTCATTTTTCCTGTAGTTTCAGCCATGACTATCATGTCACCTATTATATAGCTGCCGCTTACTTTGCTTTGAACCCGATTATCTGCTTCACTTTTAGTAGCAATTACCGGCTTGGTCTTAAAAGGCTCATAAACAGTTCTTCTGGTGTACAACAGTAAGTTTCAACACATCAGCGCTTGTGATTAAGTAATATGAGCTGAAGATGTTCATTCTTTATCTGCCGTAACGACAAGGAGAGTGACTTGGAGTGTCTAATGATGTAGCATAACAGTTTGCAACCCAAGTAAAACTTAGAATAAATGTATAGACTCAAAGGAATAAAATGGCTCAATAAATGACAAGCACCGTTATCTTAAGTGGACTTGTTTTCTGTTTTTTTCTTCTTTTTTTTTTTTTGGTAAATTTTTTCGCGATGGCAGCGGAAGGAATTTGTGAACGAAAGAATACTTATTGGTTATCCTGGTTATATGCCGGCCCTATAACGCCAAAAAGACTTCATGTAATCAGTTAAGTATAAAACAAGTCAAAGTTCGCTGAGTGATTTCATTATAACGTTTGAGTTTGGACGATTCAGTGTTAAGCATGAAAAGATGGCAATATAACACTATTCTTTGGGTTTTTCTAATATCCCATTATGACTCAAAACATCCTGTTGCTTTTAAACACTTTTTACACATATTCGCTACCAATAAACTGTTCTCTTTCATTCAGGTTTCGAAATATCCCCTTAATGCTGGGTGGCAGAGTTTCAATTAGCATTCGAAAAACCAATTACAAGTAGTGTGGTTGTTTATTGCGAGGCTATTTTCAAAACCTCATTTTTCGATCTAAAAACGAGCGCCCTCAAAATAACTGAATAGACAAGAAATATCCAAATAGAAGAAAGTCTAAATGAAACAGTCTCAGTTGGAGATATATTTAAAGAACAGACCAATCAAAATACGCACAAAAACTAAAGAGGAGGTGCCAGTTGTATTAGTGCTGTGCAGCTGACTTCGCTGAATGATTTTATCAGGTTAAAGACGTCACTGTCAAAGCATGGAAAATATAGCAAAATCACACTTCTTTCTTTGGTTTTTACTGTACAAGATTAATTTCACTTAAACATCCTGTTACTTTTAGAGACTTTTTTCAGACATGTTTTGCAAGAATAAACTCTTCTCTTACAAATTTTTCGAAATATCTCCATAATACTGGATGACAGTGTTTAAATATTAGCAGAAGTGTCGTTGTTTATTGCCACCGATGGTAGTTTCAAGTGCAGGATTTTGGGCTCGATAAGCTCCAAAATCACACTAATGAGGGAAAAAGGAGGAGAAGAAGAAAGAGCGAGGACGAAAAAAGGAGAAGAGAAACACAGCAGTGGTCTCACCCTTAGTTTTTATGATGACTAAAGACAACTGTTAGACAGAAAAGATTCATTTCGCGGTAACGTTTTCATTTAATAATCCGGATAGATATGCAAATAGACCTCTTTCGGTTGTCAGGGCATGCTGGGTAATCGCGACGGGATGGTGGGGAATTCAGAAGTTTGGATGTGAATTCAAAGTCAACTAATTCTTCCTAATTGAATACATTTGTCGCTTTCTCTTTGCAAACTTTAACTAATGATCTTAAAGAAACTATACACTAAATGTGGAGTGCACAGCAGTCCTTTGTCGCTTTTTACAAAATTTGGCGTCTTCCGTACATTTTCTGTAATTTTTATGTTGTCAAAAAATGTATGGAAGAACTCAGGTTTTCTAAAACGCAGCAAAGGACTGCCATGTACTCCAGGTTTAGTGAGTAGTTTTTTTTAAGCTCATTTGGTTACATTTTTCAAGTAGAAAAAATTAAATGACTTTCTATTCTTATACAAACTTTTGATTTTTCCACCATCTGGTCCTGATTGCCCAGCATGCCCTCTGAACCGTACAAGGGTCTTTAGAAGAAAAGCTGAACTAAACAGTCTCAGATAGAGACATTTTAAAATTAACCCTCGGATGTACAAGGGAGGGAGGGTGGATTCCCCCCACCCCTCCCCACAAGGTTTTTCTAAGTTTTTTCTTAGATGGTTAAACATCAGCACCTGACGTTTTCAGTAGCTGTACGTTTATCCCTCACGCGCACTTTGAGACAAGTTCCATAATTCCACTATACGCGAACACTGGCTAACAACGGTTATAATCACCGGCATACATTAGTAAATTACAACAGTGTAATTTAATACAACAAGGGTACTTCTACTCGCCTGTTGCCTGGCCACATAGCCTGCGGCCAGGCTCCTTGATGGGGAAAAAAGCTAGCAAATAAGGGGTGAACTTCGCAAAAAATCGAAGAGCGGTGAAGGTTTCTCTCTTTTGTGCCTGCCTTCTCAGCTGGCTATTGAGCATTCGCAGGCCTTAGTCATAAATGCCAGACTTCAGATTTCATTAGAAATAAGCCGAGCTCTATCTTTCGTGGCGCTAGTCAAGGTGCTAAAGGGTTTCTTTCAAGATTAACTAGATATTACTATATTTCTAGGTATAAAAATGTCATCCCAAAATACCTCGAAAACGCACTCATAGATTTTGCTCAAACTTCACAAACATTGAGGTATATATTGGAGGAACAAGCTCGCGTGAGCCATTTTAAAAAGAAATCCGAGTGCCGAGAAATACCGTCTGCAAGTGAAATAGATAATGACGTCTTTTCGTTGCTATCAACAGTCCGATGCAAGCATAGCATCGGCTCATACTAAATTTTCATCTTTGTCTGATAAAGCTGTGGTAATCGTTTTCCACATTTTTGTTTTATAGTAGTCACATTGTTAATGCTCAAAATTGGAATGTATCCAATCGAGCCACCTTAAACAAACCTTCTCAGTGAATAGATCAAAAAAGGCAAAGTTGTGCTTCAGTGCTCAAATTAAAAGGATAACAAATCAGTGGAAAAACAATTTTGGAAAACGGAGATCATTGGTCATTTCTAGGAATGAATGTACAGAAAGCCTTTAAATATCTAGCTAGAGCTTACAAGTTTTGATTACTTTTCGGCACGTAATTGCCCTCACACTTTTCTAAAAAAAAAACTTATATAAACAACAGAAATTAATTTTAAGCCGCAGGGTGCTATTTTTCAGACAATAAATAACATTTGGCCTGTTAAATTTTGACTTCCATTGTTTGAATTCTTAATTGTGTGGTTAATGTGCCTTTTACATGACACTGAACAAATAGTTTGTTAGTTTTGCATATTTGTTGCATGTCTGAATCCTAAATTGACCCTTACTAAAAAAAAATTCAACACACCTGTTTAAAATTTACTCTAAGCACGTATTAGTTTTCGGATATCCTTAGCATCGGTTTCAGACACTTGACCAAAAAGAGGATTTCTTGCTGGCTTTTTATTACGATGCAGTGAGTGCCTTATGGTTGACAACGTACACAATACATAATAACCCGCTCAATTTAGAAAGGGCTGTGCAGTTGTGTTAAAGCTTCGCACGGGGGCTTTCAATGGCCAATAAACAAGAAAAAAATAGGATACGCAAACTACGGAGCAGTTTTTATTTGAGCCAACTAAACTGCATGTGTGCAATCAGTAGTGTATAATTCGGACAGCTAAGCATGAACTCAACGGCGAACGCATCAAGCGAGTTTTGGAACTGCGCTACTTTGTTTAGTTCCAAAGCTTTTATCGGAGGAACCGTTGCCTTGTGTCTGATCACTGTTGTTTCACTGGTTGGAAATTCTCTCATTGTAATGCTCGTTTATAAAACGACAAACTTAACAAAACCCATAAATTATTTTATCGCAAACATGGCCTCGTCCGATTTGCTGTTTATACTTTTCAGGGGCACCCAACGAGGATATACTTCAAAACCACTTAACATAGCATTGTTGAACGTATTTTAGTATTTGAACGGTAGATATAGGCATATTTTTATCCCCTAAAAACTTTTCATCTGTTCGGATTTCCTAGCTGAAAGTCTAGTGATCAAAACTTACCTTTTCGAAAATTTCAGCCAGGAAAAGGCTCCCGAAAATTCTAGGTGGCCTTTTTTAGGGTAAATATCCGTGTAAAATGGGTAATTATACCATTTTCTAGATGTTCGAAAATCCTAGGAGAGGCAGGCAAGCAAGAAATTTTACAACAAATGTTCCGAAAATTCTAGTTCTCAAATCGTCTTCCGAACAGATATTTTCCCGAAAATTGCCGTTGGATGCCCCTGACTTTTCACTTGCCCTTTGCTCCTCGCAAGGTTGTACACATCATGGTTTATCGGTGGCCACTTCGGCCAGGCTTTGTGTAAGTTTAACACTTTCTTTCCAGCAGTTTCCGCAGCCGTTTCGATTCAAAATCTGATGCTGATAGCTGTGGATTGATTTGGAGCCGTGGTATTTCCACTCAGTTCCCCACTTATCAGATCCAAGTTGTGTCCCTTCTTTATTCTCGCCACCTGGATAGTTGCAGTAGCTGTCAGTTCGCCATACTTGTTCGCCGTGAAACTGGTTGAAAACTCAGGAAGAATGCAGTTTAAATTTTCATCCTTATCTGATAAAGCTGTGGTAATCGTTTTTCCACATTTTTGTTTAATAGTAACCACATAGTTAATGCTCAAACTTGGAATGTATCCAATCGAGCCACCTTAAACAAACCTTCTCAGTGAATAGATCAAAAAAGGCAAAGTTGTGCTTCAGTGCTCAAATTAAAAGGATAAGAAATCAGAGGAAAAACAATTTTGGAAAACAGAGAAGAAGAATTTGGTCATTTCTGGGAATGAATGCACAGAAAAACCTAAAATATCTTGCTAGAGCTTATAAGTTTTCTTTACTTTTCGGCACGTACTTCCCCTCACACTTTTCTAAAAAAAACTTGTATAAACAACAAAAATTAATTTTAAGCCGCAGGGTGCTATTTTTCAGACAATAAATAGCATTTCGCCCGTTAAATTTTGACTTCCATGGTTTGAATTCTTAATTGTGTGGTTAATGTGCCTTTTACATGACACTGAACAAAGAGTTTGTTAGTTTTGCATATTTGTTACATGTCTGAATCCTAAATTGACCCTATTACTTAAGATAAAATTCAACACACCTGTTTAAAATTTACTCTAAGCACGTATTGGTTTTCGGATATCCTTTGCATTGGTTTCTACACACTTGACCAAAAAAAGGATTTCCTGCTGGCTTTTTCTTACAATGCAGTGAGTGCCTAATGGTTGACAACGTACTCAATACATATTAATAAATCCGCTCAATTTAGAGCCAATAAAACGAAACAAGAAAAAGCAGGATGCACAAAATACGGAACAGTTTTTATTTGAGCCTACTTAACTACATGAGTACAATCTCGTGCATATGTAAGAAAGCTAGGCATGAACTCAACGGCGAACGCATCAAGCGAGATTGGGAAGTGCTCCAGTTTGTTTAGTTCCAAAGCTTTTAATATCGGAGGAATCGTTGCCTTGTGTCTGATCCTTCTTGTTACACTGGCCGGAAATTCTCTCATTGTAATGCTCGTTTACAAAACGCCCAACTTAAGAAAACCCATAAATTATTTCATCGCAAACATGGCCTCGTCCGATTTGCTGTTTATACCATTTATGTGCCATGGGATCCTCGCAAGGTTGAACATATCATGGATTATCAGTAGCCAGTTTGGCCAGGCTTTTTGTAAGCTTATCAGTTTCTTACCAGCAGTTTCCACATTTACTTCGATTCAAAATCTGATTCTGATAGCGGTGGATCGATTTGGAGCCGTGGCATTTCCACTCCGTTCCCCACTCATCAGATCCAAGTTGTGCCCCTTCTTTATTCTCGCAACCTGGATAGTTGCACTAGCTGTCAGTTCGCCATTATTCTTTGCTGCCAAACTGGTTGAAAACTCAGGAAGAAAGCAATGTGATTCAACCGCCGGATGGAAGGAAGCATTCGGGGAGTCCTCGTCCTATCCAGAGTTTAAACTAGTGATCTATATCTTGTTTATCTACATCCCTGTCCTGTTGTTAGTCATTCTTTACTCCTTCATCTTTATCAAACTCAAGGAACAGGTACACCCAGGTGAACATTCGTCCAACATTGAACGACAACGACAAAGAAGAAACAGAAACGTGCTTAATATGTCTATTGCTATCATTTCAGTGTTTGTGTTTTGCTGGTTACCATTCATAACTAGTAAATTAATCTTAGTTTATCGGAGCAGTTCCACTCATTTTTCCTGTAGTTTCAGCCATGACTATCATGTCACCTATTATATAGCTGCCGCTTACTTTGCTTTGAACCCGATTATCTGCTTCACTTTTAGTAGCAATTACCGGCTTGGTCTTAAAAGGTTCATAAACAGTTCTTCTGGTGTACAACAGTAAGTTTCAACACATCAGCGCTTGTGATTAAGTAATATGAGCTGAATATGTTCATTCTTTATCTGCCGTAACGACAAGGAGAGTGACTTGGTGTGTCTCAATGATGTAGCATAACAGTTTGCAACCCAAGTAAAATTTAGAATAAATGTATAGACTCAAAGGAATAAAATGGCTCAATAAATGACAAGCACCGTTATCTTAAGTGGACTTGTTTTCTGTTTTTTTTCTTCTTTTTTTTTTTTTTTTTTTTTTTTTGTAAATTTTTTCGCGATGGCAGCGGAAGGAATTTGTGAACGAAAGAATACTTATTGGTTACTGGTTATATGCCGGCCCTATAACGCCAAAAAGACTTCATGTAATCAGTTAAGTATAAAACAAGTCAAAGTTCGCTGAGTGATTTCATTATAACGTTTGAGTTTGGACGATTCAGTGTTAAGCATGAAAAGATGGCAATATAACACTATTCTTTGGGTTTTTCTAATATCCCATTATGACTCAAAACATCCTGTTGCTTTTAAACACTTTTTACACATATTCGCTACCAATAAACTGTTCTCTTTCATTCAGGTTTCGAAATATCCCCTTAATGCTGGGTGGCAGAGTTTCAATTAGCATTCGAAAAACCAATTACAAGTAGTGTGGTTGTTTATTGTGAGGCTAGTTTCAAAACCTCATTTTTCGATCTAAAAACGAGCGCCCTCAAAATAACTGAATAGACAAGAAATATCCAAATAGAAGAAAGTCTAAATGAAACAGTCTCAGTTGGAGATATATTTAAAGAAGAGACCAATTAAAATACGCACAAAAACTAAAGAGGAGGTGCCAGTTGTATTAGTGCAGTGCAGCTGACTTCGCTGAATGATTTTATCAGGTTAAAGACGTCACTGTCAAAGCATGGAAAATATGGCAAAATCACACTTCTTCCTTTGGTTTTTACTGTACAAAATTAATTTCACTTAAACATCCTGTTACTTTTAGAGACTTTTTTCAGACATATTTTGCAAGAATAAACTCTTCTCTTACAAATTTTTCGAAATATCTCCATAATACTGGATGACAGTGTTTAAATATTAGCGGAAGTGCCGTTGTTTATAGCCATCGATGGTAGTTTCAAGTGCAGGATTTCGGGCTCGATAAGCTCCAAAATCACACTAATGAGGGAAAAAGGCAGGAGAAGAAGAAAGAGCGAGGACGAAAAAAGCAGAAGAGAAACACAGCAGCGGTCTCACCCTTAGTTTTTATGATGACTAAAGACAACTGTTAGACAGAAAAGATTCATTTCGCGGTAACGTTTTCATTTAATAATCCGGATAGATATGCAAATAGACCTCTTTCGGTTGTGAGGGCATGCTGGGTAATCGGGACGGGATGGTGGGGAATTCAGAAGTTTGTATGTGAGTTCAAAGTCAACTAATTCTTCCTAATTGAATACATTTGTCACTTTCTCTTTGCAGACTTTAACTAATGATCTTAAAGAAACTATACACTAAATGTGGAGTGCACAGCAGTCCTTTGTCGCTTTTTACAAAATTTGGCGTCTTCCGTACATTTTCTGTAATTTTTATGTTGTCAAAAAATGTATGGAAGAACTAAGGTTTTCTAAAACGCAACAAAGGACTGCCATGTACTCCAGGTTTAGTGTGTAGTTTTTTTAAGCTCATTTGGTCACATTTTTCAAAGGGTGAGTGACAAATATTTTCAAGTAGAAAAAATTAAATGACTTTCTATTCTTATACAAACTTTTGATTTTTCCACCATCTTGTCCTGATTGCCCAGCATGCCCTCTGAACCGTACAAGGGTCTATAGAAGAAAAGCTTAACTAAACAGTCTCAGATAGAGACATTTTAAAATTAACCCTCGGATGTACAAGGGAGGGAGGGTGGATTCCCCCCACCCCTCCCCACAAGGTTTTTCTAAGTTTTTTCTTAGATGGTTAAACATCAGCACCTGACGTTTTCAGTAGCTGTACGTTTATCCCTCACGCGCACTTTGAGACAAGTTCCATAATTCCACTATACGCGAACACTGGCTAACAACGGTTATAATCACCGGCATACATTAGTAAATTACAACAGTGTAATTTAATACAACAAGGGTACTTCTACTCGCCTGTTGCCTGGCCACATAGCCTGCGGCCAGGCTCCTTGATGCGGAAAAAAGCTAGCAAATAAAGGGGTGAACTTCGCAAAAAATCGAAGAGCGGTGAAGGTTTGCCTCTTTTGTGCCTGCCTTCTCAGCTGGCTATTGAGCATTCGCAGGCCTTAGTCATAAATGCCAGATTTCAGATTTCATTAGAAATAAGCCGAGCTCTATCTTTCGTGGCGCTAGTCAAGGTGTCAAAGGGTTTCTTTCAAGATTAACTAGATATTACTATATTTCTAAGTATAAAAATGTCATCCCAAAATACCTCGAAAACGCACTCATAGATTTTGCTCAAATTTCACGAACATTGAGGTATATATTGGAGGAACAAGCTCGCGTGAGCCATTTTAAAAAGAAATCCCAGTGCCGAGAAATACCGTCTGCAAGTGAAATAGATAATGACGTCATTTCGTGGCTATCAACAGTCCGATGCAAGCATAGCATCGGCTCATACTAAATTTTCATCTTTGTCTGATAAAGCTGTGGTAATCGTTTTCCACATTTTTGTTTTATAGTAGTCACATTGTTAATGCTCAAAATTGGAATGTATCCAATCAAGCCACCTTAAACAAACCTTCTCAGTGAATAGATCAAAAAAGGCAAAGTTCTGCTTCAGTGCTGAAATTAAAAGGATAAGAAATCAGTGGAAAAACAATTTTGGAAAACGGAGATCATTGGTCATTTCTAGGAATGATTGTACAGAAAAACTTTAAATATCTAGCTAGAGCTTACAAGTTTTGATTACTTTTCGGCACGTAATTGCTCTCACACTTTTCTAAAAAAAGAAAACTTATATAAACAACAGAGATTAATTTTAAGCCGCAGGGTGCTATTTTTCAGACAATAAATAACATTTCGCCTCTTAAATTTTGACTTCCATTGTTTGAATTCTTAATTGTGTGGTTAATGTGCCTTTTACATGACACTGAACAAATAGTTTGTTAGTTTTGCATATTTGTTGCATGTCTGAATCCTAAATTGACCCTATTACTAAAAAAAAATTCAACACACCTGTTTAAAATTTACTTTAAGCACGTATTAGTTTTCGGATATCCTTAGCATCGGTTTCAGACATTTGACCAAAAAGAGGATTTCTTGCTGGCTTTTTATTACGATGCAGTGAATGCCTTATGGTTGACAACGTACACAATACATAATAACCCGCTCAATTTAGAAAGGGCTGTGCAGTTGTGCTAAAGCTTCGCACGGGGGCTTTCAATGGCCAATAAACAAGAAAAAAATAGGATACGCAAACTACGGAGCAGTTTTTATTTGAGCCAACTAAACTGCATGTGTGCAATCAGTAGTGTATAATTCGGACAGCTAAGCATGAACTCAACGGCGAACGCATCAAGCGAGTTTTGGAACTGCGCTACTTTGTTTAGTTCCAAAGCTTTTATCGGAGGAACCGTTGCCTTGTGTCTGATCACTGTTGTTTCACTGGTTGGAAATTCTCTCATTGTAATGCTCGTTTATAAAACGACAAACTTAAGAAAACCCATAAATTATTTTATCGCAAACATGGCCTCGTCCGATTTGCTGTTTATACTTTTCAGGGGCACCCATCGATGATATACTTCAAAACCACTTAACATAGCATTGTTGAACGTATTTTAGTATTTGAACGGTAGATATAGGCATATCTTTATCCCCTAAAAACGTTTCATCTGTTCGGATTTCCTAGCTGAAAGTCTAGTGATCCGAAAATTATGGGGATTAAAACTTACCTTTTCGAAAATTTCAGCCAGAAAAAGGCTCCCTTTTTTAGGGTAAATATCCGTGTAAAATGGGTAATTATACCATTTTCTAGATGTTCGAAAATCCTAGGAGAGGCAGGCAAGCAAGAAATTTTACAACAAATGTTCCGAAAATTCTAGTTCTCAAATCGTCTTCCGAACAGATATTTTCCCGAAAATTGCCGTTGGATGCCCCTGACTTTTCACTTGCCCTTTGCTCCTGGCAAGGTTGTACACATCATGGTTTATCGGTGGCCACTTTGGCCAGGCTTTGTGTAAGTTTAACACTTTCTTTAACACTTTTCTTTTTTTAAAAATTTCTTAAATCATAGAAGCTGTGGCCGTATAGATGAACTAAATGCAAAAGTTGAAAGAGCTGATTAAGGTGGGCAACTTGTGCAATTTTTAGTTCTTTGCAAGCGATATTGAAGGAAACATCAGCCATCAAAACCTGCCAAATTGCTGGGTGGCAAAAAAGTTAATGAGCCATACATTCTCTGTAAAATTTCGAGTTGTTAGAAGAGAATTTCTCCGAAACCATTCGGTGCATTGGGGTCAAATTTTCAGAGATAACTGAAACTGTTTTGTCTTTCAATATTCAGAGTTTTTATTTTATTAGCGTCATCAGATAGTGATAAGCATATTTTAATGAGGCAAAAAGATTCGCCTACATCCAATCTTCACATTCTTGTAAAGGCCCTGCTCAGGGGCACATTACCAGATTACCGCCGAGGCAAAATAAGGGAGTGCCCCCCTTCCGGGAAACACCCACGGAACAACGAATTCTCCGTGCAATAAGGATATAATCTATGGCTCGAAAAAAACAAACAAACATACAAACACTAGCTGGAAAAGCACCAAAACCAAGAATATTTTTCTTTTTAATCAAAGACAAAATATCAAAGTAAAAGAAAACAAGACGAATCAAAATAAGTGAATTTTATAAGTGATACTCCTCGAATACGGTAGACCTCAAATCGGCAAGATATTTATTTAGAAGATATTTTGTTTTTGGTTTATTTTTTTTATGACTTCAGTAGCTGCTCTTTCAGCTATATTCAAGGAGAAAAAGCTAGTAAGTAATCGTATAAAGGCAACGGACTACTTTCATAACATCTTCAGAAGTCGTTTATCTGACCCAATCTCGTTTTTCCAGTCACAGATTAAAGATATTTATTGCTTCATATATGATATTTTAGGTTTTTATTTGGTTTTTCAATTATCTCTTGCCTAATTTTTGTAATTAAGGGTGATCGGGAGGCAGGGATGCTGACCCGTCAGGGGGCTGTTCCAGGGTATTCCGAGTTGTCCTGAGGGTGTTCCGGGGTGTTCCGGGCCTGTTCCCAGTTTTACAAAAAAATTCGAGTTGCAAATTTTGAAATGCACACAACTCGGATTTTTGCGGTAAAAATTCGAGTTGCAAATTTTGAAATGCTAACAACTCGAATTTTTGCGGTAAAATTCGAGTTGCACATTTTGAAATACACACAACTCGGATTTTTAAGGTAAAAATTCGAGTTGCAAATTTTGAAATACACACAACTCGGATTTTTGCGGTAAAAATTCGAGTTGCAAATTCTGAAATGCACACAAATCCGAGTTGCAAATTCTGAAATGCACACAACTAGGATTTTTGTCGTAAAAATTCGAGTTGCAAATTTTGAAATGCTAACAACTCGAATTTTTGCGGTAAAATTCGAGTTGCACATTTTGAAATACACACAACTCGGATTTTTAAGGTAAAAATTCGAGTTGCAAATTTTGAAATGCATACAACTCGGATTTTTGCGGTAAAAATTCGAGTTGCAAATTCTGAAATGCACACAACTAGGATTTTTGTCGTAAAAATTCGAGTTGCTAATTTTGAAATCGCACAACTCGGATTTCCGCGATGAAAATCGGAGTTGCAAATGTAAACTGTAAAAAAAAAATATATCGATGTCCTATATGAGCCACGGTACTGTTCAGTTGAATTGCGCACTCAAAAGAGTGCAATGTTAGTGAATGTAATGTAAGATAAAAGCGCTACGGTAAAGGTGAGTTCCCTTTGTGATACTTGGTGATTCCTTGTGGGTTCCTTCTGTGAGTACCGGAGCACAGATTACGTAACACAATAGTAATAAAAGACAGGAAACAAAACAACTCCAAATAAAGACTAATCCCAAGTGACCAAAAATACAAAGCTTGCCGGTACCCGCAGAAAGACCCTCCCTGTGATACTCTGTGATGCCTTGTGATACTTTGTGATGCCTTGTGATACTTTGTGATACTTTGTGATACCTTGTGATACTTTGTGATACCTTGTGATACTTTGTGATGCCTTGTGATACTTTGTGATACTTTGTGATGCTTTGAGATCGCTTGTGATACCTTGTGATACTTTGTGATACTTTGTGATGCTTTGTGATACCTTGTGATACTTTGTGATACCTTGTGATACTTTGTGATACGTTGTGATACTTTGTGATGCCTTGTGATACTTTGTGATACCTTGTGATGCCTTGTGATACTTTGTGATGCCTTGTGATACTTTGTGATACTTATTTATTTATTTATTTATTTATTATTTTCCCACAATAAAGATTACACAAGCATTACATTATACAAAGATGTGGCGAGGGGACCTCAGAAAACCACAAGGCTTGTACGAGGAGGCCCCCTCGTTACAATAATATTAAGCAATAGAACTATAACAACACACAACAACGGACAGTACAAGACGCATTATCGATATAGTAGAAAATCAAAAACTTTCGTTTTAAACGATTGCAATGTAAAAATCGAAGTGACTGAGTTTGGTAAAGAATTCCAAATTTTAGGGCCTTGGAACAAAATAGAAAATTGTTTGGTGTTAGTTCGGCAGGCATGAGAACGGAAATGCGAGGAACTTCTAGTATTATAATTATGAATATTGCTACTAGTAACAAAAAGGTTCGAAAAAAAGCGGTGGCAGTAATTGATGATAATATGAAAACATAAATTGTGCAGTATAGAATGAATTAATGTTGTATATGTCCAAAATCTTTAAACGGAAAAAATAATGGTTCAGAGTGCGCGAAAATCTGCATTTGTAATAATTCGTACTGCTCGCTTTTGTAGAAGAAAAAATTCTATTAAGGTTTGTTACATAAGTGGAGGACCAAACTGTGGTACAATATGTTAAATAAGGATAAATTAAGGTATAATAAAGAGACTTTTTGTTGTTTCAGAAAGAAAGAAACGAGACCTAAACATGACGCCAATAGATTTTGAAATTTTCTTACATATATAAGTAATATGCGGCTTCCACGTTAGATGCTCGTCGATAAAAACCCCTAAAAATTTAACTACCTTTACTTGTTTTAATAAAACCTCATCGTACAAGACAGGATTTATTGGGAAGCCGACTGGTTTTTGCCTTGCTGCAAAAATGATATAATTAGTTTTCGTTATGTTAACAGAGAGCTTATTTGCTTTCATAAAAAGATCAATTTGAGATAAATCATTATTTACGGCAGAAATAGCACAATTTAAATCGGGATTAGAATAAAACACACTAGTATCATCTGCAAAAAGCATAGTTTCAGCAAGACGAGTAGCACAAGGGAGGTCATTGATATACAAAACAAACAATAATGGTCCTGATACCATGTGATACCTTGTGATACTTTGTGATACTCTGTGATGCTTTGTGATGCTTTGTGATACCTTGTGATACTTTGTGATACCTTGTGATGCTTTGTGATACGTTGTGATACTTTGTGATGCCTTGTGATACTTTGTGATACTTTGTGATGCCTTGTGATACTTTGTGATGGCTTGTGATACTTTGTGATACTTTGTGATACCATGTGATACCTTGTGATACTTTGTGATACTCTGTGATGCTTTGTGATACTTTGTGATACCTTGTGATACTTCGTGATACCTTGTGATGCTTTGTGATACTCTGTGACGCTTTGTGATACTCTGTGATTCTTTGTGATACCTTGTAATGCTTTGTAATACTTTGTGATACCTTGTGATACTTCGTGATACCTTGTGATGCTTTGTGATACTCTGTGATTCTTTGTGATACCTTGTGATACTTTTTGATACCTTATGATACCTTGTGATACTTTGTGATACTTTGTGATACCTTGTGACACTTTGTGATACCTTGTGATACTTTGTGATACCTTGTGATACCTTGTGATACTTTGTGATCCTTGGTGATACTTTGTGATGCCTTGTGACGCTGCGTGTTTTAAAGCCTTGTACTGATACTAGAATTCGTGAACCAAATTTGTGTCACCTCAGATGATTAGTGAATTGTACAACAGACCGGCATGGTACTGGGGTTACGTTACTAAAAACTCAAGTTAATGAGGTATAGTGATTGTGTGAGCATGTGATGCGATCACAATCTTTGTGTCCTTAATCAGTTGTCCCCAAATCGTGCACTGTATACTTTTCCGTGTACTTTTAACTATGAGACCGCGCTGGCCTGGACACTAGTTTTGTCACTTAGGAAGAGCGTTTACCACAACCCGAAAACAAACACTGAACAAAGTTGCGAGTCGTAGACATCTACAAAATCCGCTTCAGTCGTGCTTTGGGGTTCTTTTGATCTTTGATCTTTTACTCAAAACCTGTTCCTGAATATTCTTTTATTCATCTTTTAAAATTATTTAATCGTATTTGGCTAAAACGGATTGAATCAAGCGTCCAATGGAACATAGTAAGTAAGTAAGTAATAACTTTATTTAACGAGGGTAAAGACATTGATTACTGGTCACCCAGTAGTTTTCATAATGGCCCTCCATAGACAGAAGAGGAGGGAAACGTGAAGGCGCCGGGCGGAAGAAATCGCCTGCGTTAACGAAAATAACGAGGGAGATCAATCAAAAGCACTGGAGAGCCAACCACCATTCTATATATTTGGAAATTCGGGTTTTCTCAAGCTAAAACGAGACGCGGGGGGCTTATTTCAGATGGGCGGGCTTATTTAAGTTAGCAAAGACGATGGTATCAGTTCTCCACAAGAGATAATGAGCTACATTCTCTCTTGTTCTCCATAAAGAACTAGAATACAAACTGAAAAACTCAAGTTTGAGGTCATGAAACCGTGGATCAAACACCAGTCCGAACTTCCGGGTGGTGAATAAATAATCCCGTTCAGTCTACAGGAAGTTTTACAGTCGGATTGATTAGTACAGTCTATCATTTTTTTAGTGAAGAATTATAAGGGGAGGGGAGGGTGGTCAACTTGAGGTAGCTGATTAGAGAGGGGAATTACGGTAAGTGAAGCAAAGGGTTTAAAAATCCGACAAGGGGAATAAAACGACTTCATAAGAATGGAAACCCAGTGATGTGCCATCCCCTTCACCCATTTATTTGTGCTTTCTCAGTAAGTCACTGTGAGTGATACAGTGTACATGAATAATTGATCATTCCTTAACATAACTTGTCAATCAATTTCATGAACGATCATCTACCTTGGCAGTTTTCCCAATGCTGCCGTGCTTTCATTCATTTTGAATAAACTATCAAAAACGTTTGCGTTTAACACAGACAGTGCTTCAGCTATTTCACTCAGCCTGCAAAGAACACATTTTTTTAATAATCAATGTTTGTAGCCTTTATCACAACGAAAGTAAAAAGCGATTAATCGAGTAAAAGCACACAGGCACGAAACACGACCTGACCCCAGAGCGAAACGGCTTAAGAAGTATAGAGTGAACAGGACGTAGGTGAAACGACCGTAAACCCTTTAAAAAATGTAGTAGAGGCAAAAGAATAAATATGTACTTTTAAAATTCCACTTTTCCCTGACTTCTTTCAAAGATTTAACTTTCCTCTGACTAATGTATCGGTCAAATCGAAGCTTCAACATCCTCCCCCCGCCCCCGGGCATACCCCGGGCATTTGGAACCTTTGCCATCCCGGGGAGGAGGGAATTTGATTATCAGAGTCTTCCAGGGGGTGGGGAATTTGATCCCCATGCGTTAGGGGTGGGAATTTTGAACTGCACCCTCGATTTCATGTGAAATCTCTGGTGTGGCGAACTGTCATGGGGGACGCAGTGTTAGAGGATTTTCGTGGAAAAGATTGTGCCTTTGTGGCCAATTTGTTACGAGGAACGGGCTTAAACAAGCTTTGTGCCATATTGAAGGTATTTAAATTGTAATATTTTTAATATTGGATTCAGGCTTTGAATATATGAATGTATTAAGTTGTGTTTACAATGAAATACAATACCTATTACCGGCAACTCAATACAACAATAAAAAGGTCAACAGAGGTCAATTACTTTGACCTGCCGCATGTATAAGGTGAGCGATGATGCATGTCGGTGAAATGGTCATGATAGGTGGGATTTTTTTTATAGAACGTTTTGCATGTTGTATGACACACGAAGAAAAGCTGAGCATTCAGTGACCTTGTAGCAGCGATTTCCACCACTTTACACAAGAATTTTGATCGTAGTAAATACGTTTCTCAGTTTTTGTTATATTGACCGCAAATTATTTGCTGTAGTTATAAAGATTTTGTTCGACAACTGAAGGCGTTTCTGCCGTCCTTCTGCCATTTATGTGCCCATGAAATGTCCCCGGGGTGGGGTCATTTGATCACCGGAATGGACCCTAGTGTAGGGCATTTGAACAGCATTTTGGCCCGGGTAGGGGGGAATTTGAATAATAATTTTCAAAAAAGTCAAATGCCCGAAGGGGTTGCCCGGCAGGGGGGGGATGTTGAAATTTTGATTAAACCGATACATAAAAGTGAAATTCCCAGACTTTTCCTTGACCTTGAAGATATTTTTTCCCTGGCCATTTCCTGACCTGTGGTAACCATGCACTCCTACATCTGGATTTATAAAATTTTATACAGTGTTACTGCTAAAACTTAAATTTACAAATTCAAATAATCTTTTTCTAACTAATCAATGCTCAGTGATGTAGCAAAATCTCCTAAATCTTGTCTAAAATCAGTATTTTAATACCCAGTACATTATACAAATTGTGCTGGTCCTTGAAATTCACATTACTTGATCAGAGGCTACAAGCTAACATGTAGGTCTTATCATGTGGCACAAATTGTTCATTTCTTATCCCCTGCAACTTTTCAATACATTCTGAAAAAAAAGAATGTACAGAACAAAAGCAAGTATAAGCTATGGTATGTGATAAAAAAATATTTGTTTAGATTCATAAGACAAAAACTAACAAATTAAGATGATACTGTATCTTTGTATCGATTTTTATAAAAATAAAATTAAACTTTTTATTTTATAGATAATATTGTTTTATATGAGAAAAATGAAGGTTAAATGCATGGTCTGACTCACCCTCACAACACTTTTGATGTGATGAGCATGTAACGTCTTCTCCTTGCTTTCCAGTGCCTTGATATTCGACTCTGCAGCTAAGCGCTTTAGAAACAGCATGTAGTCTAAAAATATCTGTTAACAAGAACATTAATTTTCAGAGGTCAGCTGATGGATTTTCTACAAAATGCTTTCCAGGGTTGATACTACAGCTTCAGATCAGACTTTCTCTACTATGTCACTGCGTTCTGCCGCAGAGAAAACGTTTAAGTTCTAATAAGCAGAAAGGCAACAACACGTTGAAATAGGAAGGACACGACCAGTTGGGTTTATTGGGGACAAGAAATAAAGTAGTGGCGGAGAAAAACGAATTACATCACTGTAAACTACGAGACTAAACGTAAACAGCATACTAGAAAAATTAAGCTCGGCAAGGTGCGAGCGGTAAAACTGGCTGTGTCGAGTGAATAACGCGAGAGGCGACAAGGCTTAAATACCGAGATGTGATGTAAAATCCCTAGAGGATCAAACTGCGGCCATAAATGTAAATTCCGAACATAAACACATTTATCTGTTGCAGTGAAGTGCAGACCTCGGACCACGGTAGCAGCACATTTATCTCGAAACTTTGTAGCCGGGTATTCTGAAGTTGTTCCCCCCTCACTGAATCAAGAAACCCCTTCCTAATTTAAAAACGCGAATTAAAGAGTGACGTGAAAAACTTTTAGCGAGGAAATCCTGTTTCGAGTAGAATTGAATCGCGTCCTCATCCCCAAGCAAGCTCGACTTAATGCCATTAAGAGAGTTCTTGTCATTCAGCAAACTACGGTATCGTGCAAAGTTCGCTGAGCAACAAATGTTGCACGCTGTTGAACCGTTTGTCACCAGCTTTCCACAAATCTTGAAATAGCAACTCGAAAAATCTTACCAAGATGTCAGCATTTCGAGAGAATCTTGCCTTGCGCTGGTATTTCTTAATGATAGATTTCTGCTTCGTTCGAGGAAAACTTCTTTTCATATTTTTGCAACAATCTAAAACGCTTCCTTCTTTGTGTTGTTGGTTGTGATTCCCAAGGAAGTAGCCACAAGTCTCTCAAACTCTGCTGACAACACTCAAAAGTTTGTCTTTCCCTCCATCACATATGAGCCTGCAATCACTACAAGATGTACGTCATGTAAATATTTTGTGCTGTCCCGGACCGAGGAGAATGGGTAATGGCGTTTGAGTTCAACTTTGACGACGAGATATTCCAAGAATCAAACTGCAGAACAAAAGTGGTTTCAGGGATTTACAGCCCGAAGCTATGCGATCCTGAGGTTTGTTTTTATTGGGCATTTAAATTATTTTTACTCAAGGCTGCTATGAAATAGCCACCGCCAAATAAGCCTACCCTCAAATAAGCCTCCCCCTTTTCTCGAGGGAAGAAAGTTAATAAACCCCCCTCTCTTTTAAGCCACCCCGTCCCCTCTCCTAATTATTCTTCTCTAATAAACGATAGGCTGTGTTAATCAATCACGACTGTAAAACGTCGTGTTGACTGATGTGGGATGATTTAAGGTTAAGCTTTAACACCAACTGGAAGTTCGGATTTGTTTTTGATCCTCGGCTGCATGACCTCTAACTTCTCATACTTGAACTTTTCTTCTTTGTATTCTAGTTCTTAATGGAGAACTAAACTTCTTTTCTAAATTAAACAAGCCCCCCTCTCAAATAAGCTCCCCTCTATATGAGCCCCCCCCCCCCCCCCCCACAGTAAGCTATGATATTAAAGTTCAAGAACAAACTGACATTGTACCTAAAGAGAAAAGGTCAATGGGCTTATGAAATGTTTAGTCAAAGAGGCTGCCATTCATTGTTTCAAATCTAAGAACCAAAATGCTTCAGGCTCTTTGTTCTCTTTTTCAAATGTAGTGGGATTAGAATGAATTTGAATAAAAACTAAACACAAAGTCCACTGACTGGTAGTATATGATTTTATAACACCCGTTTATTTATTATTGTGGAAATGTCATTGTGGTTCTTGTGGTAGAAGTGACAGTGAGATGATATATGGTTCCTTTTTTTGCCAGTGGTTCATGCGATCATCTCCTAATAATGACCCAGCAGAGAAACAAAATATCAGGAAGTTCCAAGGAGATCTTTTGTACCATAAACATAAGTATGAACAAGCCTTTGTCATGTACCAAGAATCTCGGCAAAGGTTGCCACCAAACAACACAGTGCTGGACAGGGAACTGTTGGAATCAATGGCAATGTGTTTATTAAAGCTGGGCAAATTTAATGAGGCTTTGACTCTTGTCAAGGAAACAATAGTAAGATAGTTCATTTTTGTAAAAGTTGGAGTTTATACTTGGTATAAATAGAGTCTTCTTTGAATATTTTTTGTGCTTCTTTTACTTTTATTGGCTGGCTCTGGAGGGTTTGATTAGACTATCTGTTACTGCAAGCTGGACTATTTGTGACTGGGTCTGGGAGGGGCAGGGGGGCATACTCCGGATTTTAAGTAACGGGGAAGATCAAAGGATTTTTTTGAGTTTGAAATTTTGGATTCTGGGATTTTCTTGGGTAGGAAAATTGGGCAAGTTTTTTGGGGTGGCTTGATTTAAGTAGGGATTTTGTAGGTATTCAAAACAATCTGAAGATTGCTTATCCTGGCCGTGTAGTTCTGCAATTAAAAAACAGCCAAATAAAGTATAAAATGTAATTTACATCATTTTACACTTTCTGGAAATTTTTAAGGTTTGCAAATTCAGCACGGAGTTTTTTGCAGGTTAAGTTTTTGTCCAGGGATTTTTTTGGGTTTTAATTTTTGCCCCTCTTCAATGATCCCCATCACTTGAAATTCAGAGCATCCCCCTGGGGACTAGGTATTGTGCTTTGTTGCAATATTTCCTATTTTTTGTATGTTTCAATAACTAGTGAAGTATGTAATATTAAAGCAAGCCTGAATTGGGTGATCGTTTGAGACAACTCTAGTAAGCAGCCATGTGAAAATTGAGGCAAAGTAGATGGTGATGCTAGATGTAGATTACTTGCCAGAGCTCCACAAGGTGCTGCAAGGTGCTTTTAAAGTCCTGGGTGCAAAATAATTGCCTACAGTGTACTGGTAGAATGCTAAAACATTGTCTGACAATAAGAATTAGAAACATATCAAAGATCAAAGATAATATCCAATAAGTGGTATTGAATGAGAGTGAACAGTTACACAAACTTATCCTTGATTTAAATCTTCTCATTCCAGCCTTTGTTGCTGGCTACCAAAGAAGGGTTCTGCCAATACCCTCTACTTACCCTAAGAGAGATAAGTAAGGCTGCTTTCTGGTTTTTATTATGGCAAATTGAGTATTTTAGCTTGACCCTTGAATATCTGAAATATATTTGATTGCTTCAATGACAGGATAACAACCAACAGAATGATTCTTCAAGGTGGCATTTGCTATCTCAGATATACAGAGCCATGGGAAATATGCAAGGTATTTAAAACTAGGCAATGGCAATACAAGATGGCAATGGATGTGGGTATCACCTTCCAATAAAATTGCACTGAATTAGTGAGAGTGCAGAGATGCCAGCCTTCGCAAATATGAAGTGTTCAGTTTTCTCTTTTGCACTAGACCTGGCCCTCTCACTTTAAAAATTGTTTTTGGCGTTTTTGGTTAAATAGGTTCTTAGAAATTTAAGTTGTAGTACAGGAAAGCCCCAAAGCTGCTATTATCCTCAAGATTTGACCACTCATACAATCAGGTAACATGAAAATGTGCTTTTTATTTGGGAAAAGAGAAACAGCTAGCAGATTAAGTAAGCATTCAAGGACCGAAAGCAGATATCACCTTTCGTACACTACTGCATATTACAAAAGAGTAGGCTCCCACTTTTGGGGTACAAGAAACATAGTCATCATGGTCATCATTATTATTTTAAAAAAGCTAGGCAGGTAACCACAGTGGGCATGCACTCCAACTCCATTCACTCCACCTGGTCTGAGGCCAATTAGGTGTTATATTCAGGGTTCACATAGTCTTGAAAAGTCCTTGAATTCCATTTTTGTTAGAAAAGTCTCTAAATTTCTGTGCAAGTCCGTGAAAAGTTCTTGAATTTTCTTCAACTTTGAATGTAGTGGCCTGGAAAGTGTTTTTGAGTGCTTTTTGTTTGTTCAAAACAGAATAGAAATCATGGCTCAGAAAAGTTAAAGTAGACTTTCACGCTTTGCGCTCGAGAACATTTTGAACTCGACTTGTGGGCAAGTCTAAAGTTAAAGGTGATTTACATAAAGTGTCTTATGTATTTTGAATAATTAACTATCAATTTAAGACTTGTAAGTGAACTGCAAACTTTAGAGAAAAATAGGATAGATACATGTAGAAAATTTCTTGCATACTGTAGATATTCAGGAGGAGGCAGCATGGCCGAGTGGTCAGCACGTCGGACTCGCAATCCAGCGGTCCCGGGTTCGTGTCCCGCTTCTAGCCACTTGCTGGATTTGTGCTCGGTCGTTCCGAGTTCAAATTCTCGGCCACGCTTGTAAATAGCCAACTGGTTGCCTTCTGCCAGTTGGGGTTTTTAATCCTGTTATGTTGTATTTGAATTATTTGTTTCTAAATATATGAGTGGAGTGCCTGTAAATTAGCTTACTAGCTAAGTGCACCTTCCACTATAAACATGCCTTTAACCTTTAACCTTTTTAACCAAAATGTCTGTTTTTGATCCGTTTTGGGACAGGTGAAATTGATGCCCTTCAACATTGTGCAACACTTCACTCCTGGAACTATCAATACTGGTACTCATTAGCCCTGGCGTATGAAAAACTATCTGCAAGTTGCGTTAGGTGTTCAAATGAGAACTTTGGAAATGATGATCTTGGAAGCAAAAGTGTTGTATTGCAACAATGTTTGACATGTCAAAGAAACTGCAATGAAGAGTCTTTGAATGGTGAAAGCTT